TAGAACCAAGGCCAATCCCACGGGAGATACAAGAAGATGAGTTGGAGCTCAGAGCGATGACCCAAGTCGGGAAAACGTACGTGGCTCCACCCATACGGGAAGAACTCATCAGAGAACTGCATGAGTCCAAGGAATACGGACACGCATCGCTGGAAGAAATGGCTAGGCGACTATCAAGGGTGTTTGCGATACCACGCTTGCGAGCGAAGGTGCAGGATGTCCTAGGCAACTGTTTGGCTTGTCATCAGAACAAGCCCAAGAGACATAAGCCCTACGGCCTGTTACAACCCTTACAGCCACCAACCAAGCCATGGAGCAGCGTAACGATGGACTTCATAGTGAAGCTCCCGAAATCGTTAGAACCAGGATCAGGACGACTTTGTGATACAATCCTAGTAATCGTGTGTCGATTAACTAAGGGAGCAAAGTTCGTACCAACAGAAGAAACCATCACGGCGGAAGACTGCGCGTATGAAGTCTCCAAAGCATTGATATCAGAGCATGGTATACCAGAAGAATTCATAACGGACAGAGATAAGCTGTTCACGTCTAAATATTGGACAACATTCCTGGCCAAACTGGGTGTAAAGAAGAAGCTATCGACTAGCTTCCACCCTGAAACGGACGGCCAGACGGAACGAACGAACCAGACACTGGAACAGTATCTAAGGATGTACGCCAACAAGCTGCAAGACAACTGGGTTGAACTCTTGCCGACAGCACAATTGGCCTACAACAGCACAAGATCGGCGACCACGAAGTACTCGCCGCACTACGCAAACTATGGATATGAGCCGACTGCTCATCGAGACCCAAAGGATGTAGAAAGCATCGCAGTAGGCGCAGATGATAAAGCCCGCCTCATGCGAGAATTACACGAGGAATTGAGCAAGAACATCGCCCACAGGAACCTCACAACAGCCAAAGCGGCTAATAAGCAAAGGATTGAGGGACCAACCTTTAAGAAGGGGGATAAAGTTTTCCTGTCACGACAGAACCTGAAAACTAAGCGACCAAGCAAGAAACTGGATAACCTCCGAGTAGGACCATTCGAAATCCTAGAGGAAATAGGCACAGTAAATTACAAACTCCAACTGCCACCAGGCATGCACATCCACCCTGTCTTTCACAAGAAACTCCTGGAACCAGCACCTCCAGATGCCGAGCTAGCAACGGATATAGAGCTCGAAGACGACGAGTACGAGGTCGAAGAAATTAGGGACCTGCGGAAAATCGGTCGTCAGTGGAAATACTTGGTCAAGTGGCAAGGATGGCCAGAGGGTCAGAACACTTGGGAACCAAAGGAAAGCTTGACGAACTGCAAGTCACTGGTACTTGAGTACCACCGGAAACACCCAGAGAAGCAAGGACCGGGTCCTCGAGGGAAAGGAAGTAATCAAAAGAAGGGTCGAAAGAAGCGTCAGCCTGTAACCAGCCCAAGTCAGTCGACGGTCCGGGTAGCGATGGTTCGGTTGTCGGAAAGTCCGTACCAGGGGCAGAGTTCCCCTCGGCTTGCTCTTTCGCACGGTCTTGAAGGCTCAGGATCGCGTGATCTCGATCAGCGTACGAACGCTCCAAGGCCTCAGTTTCCGCGACTTCTAGACGAAGCCGCGCGACCTCGGCCTCTGCACGGAGAAGCGCTAAACGCTTCTCACGCTTCTCAGCTTCAACCTTTTCCCACTCTTCCTCGGTTACAAACAAACTGCACTCAGCTTTCACGGAAATACAACCCGCACACTGCCCAGACGCAGTGTCCACGAAGCAACGAAGGTTCTTCTCCTCACAGCGCTTACAACGAAACGTCATTTCGTTCCCTTGCTGCCGGACGCGATCAGCCCGGGCCTGACGCTGTTGAGTCGAGTTTTGCGAACGGACACGGCGAGTCGGGGGTTGAACCTTGGGCATGGTTAGGGACGCTGGAGGCAGGAAGAGGCGGCTATAATGGCCCGGGGCGCGCAGACCTTATATGCAGCCCACGCCTTAACGATCGGCACGGCAAAATAATAATCCAGGGTATCGGGACGATACGCCTAAGAGGGGGGATAATGTTACAGGTAACACAAAGGATTCTCTCCTTAACATGGGGTGAAGGGGTTGAAGGCCAACCACGACCAAGTCAGAACGCAACGATGATCGCGGGGCTCGGGGTCACGTGATCAGGATTGGCATCCCGCCAAGACCAGGCCTCCGGGAGGCCAGTGGGGCTAGGGAAGCCACGGTCCTCCCAAACCTCCCTCTGGGATGGGAGGCCAGGGAGGACAGGACCTAAGGCAATGGGTATAAGAATGTGTTGGATTTCATTATTACACTCATTGTGGTCAACTCAAATAGTTCATCTCTTACACAGATTGTTAACTAGTTATTCTATCGTTTATAGAATTGGATTGTCTTTACCTGCAGTTATTCCACGATAACTCTTTTCCACAGAATCGCCAGACAAACCTCACGGACTACCGCTTTAGTCTACCTCGCCTTAGTACGGACCGAGCCTAGAGAAGTATAGCCTAACCCCGTGTAACATAATTATTATAATACTACGTTTTTCTAATATTACTACTACTTGCTATAGCTCTATAGCTTTATTTTTTATGTAGATAAAGTAGTTGTTACCTAAGTATTACGCGATTAGGGTATTGCCTGCGCTAAGACAGTAGTAGATAATGCACAAACAGTAACATTCTGTATATTATAGCTTAAGAATGATTCTTTATTGCTCTAATAATACTGTAAGCTTTTAGCCCGATTTCTGAATGGTACAAATTAATTGCATTGCTCTGTTTACTACTCCACCACAAAATCTCGTGATAATAGCTATTGTGGATGGTTGCGCAGCCTTATGTTGTGGATGGGCATATGGTGTTTGGGTGTGTTATGGGCGGAAAGAGGCCTGCTAACGAGTATGCATTTGCTCCTATGTACAGAAGAAGAAAGATAAGAGAAGAAAGGTTCTTCTTACGCGTACAACTCGCCTCTTATAGGCCTTATGCTTTACTGCTTTAGTCGGCGCTAAGTCGTACGTCATGTGACTAGAGCAGTCTGCTTAATATGGCGTAGCCTCTTACAATATTAAAGTAGATAAACTATCTTAAAGACGCTGTAAACGCTATAGTAAGGCTAGATATAACTTACGTATATATTAGTAAAATATAGTAGAAGTTTCTAATTAATTTAGTCTATTACAATTTCTAATTATAGTTCTATATAGTTCTGCACTATTGTGTATAGTTGTAGTTTTAGTAGAGTCTTAGCAAAAGCTAGCTACCTACTTATTCTAGCTACTTACTTATTACCTACGTTAGATAGAGTTTTATTAATTCCTATAGCTATATATAGTAAGTACAAGGTGTTTAGGAAATACACCTATATTAAGAACAATATATTAAGTTACCTAACTGCGTTTTATTACTCTGCTCTGCATTAACACTCTACTGTAATAGACTTAATACACTATTTACATGTACACCTATCTAACATTATACAATATTACTAGCCTACACTTGATTAGGAGTAGTCGCTGCCTCTTCCAATTATCAATGCCACCTAGGCATAGGGCCACTCGACCACCACCAGTCTTCTCATTCAGCGTATCCATGTCTTGCGAATATTCGCGGTCAACAAGCCTTAGGTTCCTGAGTACTCTGCAGATGGCCTGCGCTGCATATGATACATTCCTAGCAAGCCTTTGCGACATTGTCTCGAGGTCGCTGAATAACAAGATCGTAATTCTAAATTGGTTCTTTTCGTGGTACACATGTCTCATTTCCTGAGCGTGCTCAGTGGGAAACTTGAATGCCGAGCTTTACGTCAGTATCTCCAAAGCGCGATGCTTATGGCCGCCTACGAGACTCGTATATGATGCCTGAGGTTGTGCCCGCCATCCATTCTTCGCACTTGTCCGCCACGCTCGTACCGGATAGCTTACTACGTACGAGATGCAACTTTGTGTTGCGTATATCATTTGGCATACTTGAATATGTAGCAGCGACATCTGTACGAAACCCTGCGCATCCACATTACAATGCGATAAGACGCATGTCCAAACCATCTCGAGCTCTCTTCTCCATCATGCTCCCAAAATGCTCCTGAAGATCTACGATCTTCCAGTCGCATTACTTCAGAAGTCCATCTCTTTGCTGGCATATGAGGAATCTCAAAGAACCAATCGTTACACTGTACCATCTACCTGCTCGAAGTGCATTTCCATCTTCGCAATCCCAGTCTTGTCGGCGTGCGTAATATCTACACCTTCTAACATCGTAGTACAATAGGTTCTGTATGCATGCTGCACCCTATCAAGCAGCACTGGCGTCGGTATCAGATCAGACAAGTGTACCTAGGTAGTTCCACGTTCAGCTGTGACAAGAACAGGACACGAAAGGATCAAACAGGGGCTGTCCTCCCAGCACTCCCAAATGCCATGGTATTCACACAACATAACGCAGAAATGTATAGCATGGACAATCGAAAGAGCAGTACAACCCCCGCAGCTCATTACCCTTTTCATGCCGACCTCGCCTCTTCGCGATATCTGATCTCTCAGCAACACCCAAGGACGCTCAATCGATCTCGTATTCCTAATCTGTCCCCTATACCGCGTACTCGCAATGATCTTCACACCGCAGTCTGACAGCACCGAGAGTAAGCCTTCTCTAAGCAGGGAATGCATGTCAGTATCAGGATGAGGTCGAAGAATGGATGAACGGTAGGGTGCGGGGTGTCAGGAAAGGCAGTAGATGTCTCGAACGGTACATGACAACAGTGGAGCCTGATGGCTACATAGCATGCTGACGTTGTAAATGATAGGTCGTGGACTCATGTAGCATGTATAGGGTGATTAGACATGTAACATTGACCTCCTTGGACAGGTGATGAGTTTGAAGCGTAAGGGTTACATCGCACTCACACGCCGCAACTGATGAGATCGTGGACCCATGTAGTCTGCACGCCGCATCGCTTTTCGAGTTGTCTTCACTGAGAACAGAGCAGAAGAGGTGTAATATTGTGTGTTTTGTGGTTTGCATTTCATGGTAACTAGCTAATCTGAAGTCCGTGAAAAACGCAGGAAAGAAGTCGAAGTAAGCCCAGAAACGCCGAGTCAAGGTCAGAGTTAATTCAAAAACGCCCCCCAGTGAATGTCAACATAATCCCGAAAACGCCGTGCCCAGGTAAAATAAAAAACGCCCTCGCTCCCAAAATGAACTGATGATTCCGTGTCTGCCCATGATGCATGCCCCAAGACACGCTGTGGTGAAGGTGAGGGAAACGCCGTGTGAATGCCCGCCCAGTTGCGATACTCGCTGTAGACGATTGATGAAGTTGTTGTTGTGAAATGTGGTGTGGCTTCAAATGTAGTGGTGTGGTGATGTGATGCGAGAAGCGTGTAGACGTTCTTGCTACTCATAGATAGCGGAAGTCTGGTGCGCGAGACCTGCGGTTACGACCCCGAGGGTTGACGGGTTGCCTGTCGTACGCATCGTTCGGGTCTTGTTGTCCTTGTGCCTGGCCTTGTCCATTGCCCCATTGTCCTTGTCCTTGTCCTTGTGCGTGTGCTTGTCCGCCCCATCCGTACTGCTGCTGCTGGTGTTGTTGCTGACCGTACTGTTGACCGTACTGCTGCTGGCCGCCGTAACCGAAGTTCTGCTGAGGGAACCACTGCTGTTGCGGCATCTGCTGCTGTTGTTGTTGCGGTTGGAAGCCCATCTGGTAGCCGTTCTGGAAACCCATCTGCGGAGGCATCTGCATTGGCATAGGCATACCCATCGGCATTCCCATGGCGCCCATCGGTGTGTTCTTGAGCATCTCCATCTGTTGTATAAAGTCTTGTTCCATCTTCGAGGCGGGGTCGGCGGCCTGACGCATGGCTTTCGGTGCGGTGGGAGGTTTGATGTCTGTCGGAGGCTCTTTGCGCTTCTTTGAAGAGGTTGAGTCAGTATCGGAGACTTCGTCAGCCGCTGCCACTGTAGTAGTAGCGGTAGCGGTAGCAGTTGTATCTTCATTTGCGACAGAGGAAGATGCGGTGTCAGTAGCATTGGATTGATTAACTGATTCATTTGTTGAAGCGACTGCCTTTGCTGCCTTGTCCTTCTCTGCCTTCTCTGCGTCGTATGCCTTGAGAGACTTGACCATGTCGTCGTCGGCAACGAGATCATCCATCAAAACATCCTCCTTTGAACAGTTTGGACAAACCAAGTCACCATCTGCTAGCGCGTTGTCGATACATTCCCGGCAGTATGTCTTGCCGCAGCAAGGGGTTTTGACGGGGTCGACAAATCTTTGATTGTCGATAGGACATTGTAGACCACGCTCAGCAAGCTCTTTGCTTGCGGCGTCGGCATTTGCTGCTTGTTGTCGTGATAAATTGGTCTTCTCTTGAAATTTGTTCCAGGTCTTTGTATCTGCCATGACCTGAACGTATTCTCCGTCGGCGTTCAACATGATGCCCTTTGCAGCTTCTTCGTCGACTGGCTTTTCAACTTTCTTCAAGAAAGATTGAGGAATTCCAGTAGTACGTTTCGCTTGGAAAACAGGCTTGAAATCGGGATCGTCGTTGGTTGGGCAGGCTTGTATCCAGTGACCCTTGATATTGCAGCGGCGGCAGACATAGCCGGGAGGGGGAGGATGTGAAGGGACAACAACATTCTTGGAGGCATTTTTGCGATAGACAGGTTTTGCGTTCGAAAGAGCCTCTTTCTGTGCATCCCAGGCAATTGCTGATTCGGCCAAGAACGCGGCTTCAGGATCTTCGGCATTTATGTGAGGTGAAGGTGCGACGGGTTTGCTTTGCGTGGTGAAAGCGCGTACAGGCGCTTTGCCGTTGACGTAGCGGGCGGCTCGGCCTTGTCCTCTGGGAGCGGGGCGGCGAATCGCGATAATGGTAGACGAGCGCGGAATTAGCGTGGTGTCGTCTTTGTATTCGGAGGCGGGGTCATCTTGCGGGAAGATGTGTAGGTTGAAGTCGGTTCCGTCGCCGAGGCCGCTTGCGCTGATGATCTCCTTCTTGAGCTCGAAAACACTCAAATCGGTACCGTTGAAAATAATGCGCTCGCTCTCCCTTGAATTTTTGAACTTGTAGAAGATCGATGAAGTCATTGTTGTAATTTGTGGTGGTGTGGCTTCAAATGTGGTGGTGTGGTGAGAGGAGAGTGTAGAGCTGATGGAGGAGAACAGTGTTCGAGGCGCTCCTAGCAAGCCACGCGCACGGGCCAGTCCGCTAGTCGGCGCTACACCGCCACATCCCTGACCCCTCCGAACCATCAATCTACCAATAACTACCAGACTGGAGCCTAGAGACATCCCCACGATCAGAATTTCAGCCAATGGTGTACAATGTATCGCCAGAACATGTTTCCAGTCAATTCTACCAGATTTCTGGGTTTGCAGACTACAGCGTATCAACACGTTCAAAAAGTCCATCAATAATATACTGAAGTCAGTCACAGCCCCTCATTAGGTTGAACTAAAGGCACAAGACCATTAATACATGTTCACACTAAATCAAGAATTTCTGCGAAGTGTTCCCAAAGTATGGCTGACAAATCTAACCTAACCATGGATACACCTCATCCAGACGGGAGCTGGGAGGCGTTCAGTGCATCAAAACATTCCAAATCTCAATTAATAATGCACTGTATACCGTCACGACCACTCAAGCAATTGAACTAAAGATACAAGGCCTTCAGCACGTTCCATATCAAAACGAAGATTCAAGCGAAGGATAAGAGCGTAGCCGACATTCCGAACCCATGGCTTTCAATCATACAGGAGCCTCCGCCGCATACAAGGAAGAGACTAAACAGGTCTGCAGCCTAGATCAAGATGAGAACGAGCAACATAGATGGTCCAAGGTCGACGCAAGCCCCAGGGTGTTCAGTTTTCCCGTTGGATAAGGTGCCTCGAGGCCTCGCTATGTGGCGTTTATAGCAGGTACTCAAACTCAGATTCACCCTATGCACGGGAAGACCAGGACATTCTGCAGTCTACGTTGGTCTCAGAGCGAAATTTTGTGACATCTTGACGCAACGTAGACTTCTAGGTCTTCGACTACTTCCATCTGCTATAGGCGGGCGTTCAGCTTCTTTCTGGAATGAGCCAGATTCCCGATCACTAACGCTCTAAAGATAGTCATAGCCCTCCAATTGGTTGGACTGAACCTGGACACCCTGCAATTTACATTGGTCTTGTGACGAAAGTCTGCAAACTCTTGACGCGATGTACACTTCTGGGTCATTGACTTCTATCATTTGCTACAGGTGGATGTCCAACCCTTTCCTGAAATTTGCTGGGTTCTCGTTCACTAACGCTCTAAAGATAGGCATAACCCTCCAAACAGTTGGACTACAACAGAAGGGCCGTTAGTACGTTCCACATCAAAATAAGGATTCTAACCTAGACACGGAAGCTTGACCCAAGTCTAAACATGGGCACCACTGAAGGCTGACACAACGTCTTAGCGGCTTGTGTTGACGCCGAAATCTTTCACGATCGTGACACCAGCCCAGACTTCTCGCCGCTAGAATATGGTCGAAGACACAGACCTATGTATTCCGAGTAAACTGGGGCCTAGAAGCCTTCGGCACAGTATCTAGATGAACTTCTTACGACATGTTACCATAAAGACAGCCATGACTCCTCGGACAGTTTAACCGGAGCGAAGACGACATTGGTTACAAGTGGTCCCAGAACGAGCGTTTCAGCAAAGAAGAGACTGCGCCTTTGATTCGGACTGGGACCTGGTCTTGGTCGCGCTGGGGCGTTCCAGCTAGAAGTATCCCAAATATAGTCGAAAACTCGGAACCTAGAGGCTTCTATCAGACTGTGCCCCGAGGACCTTCGGCATATTAACAGGACGAGAACTCCATTTGGTAATACTCTGAAGGTACCCAGAGCCTTGAAAGTAATCATCGTGTCAGAACTACAGCCTTGCGATCAGACTGCACCCTGGAGGCCTTCGGAACATGAACTGGACGAGAAGTTCAACTAATGATACCCTGAAGACATCCGAAGCCCTAGTCCTACTACGCCCCGCTCAACTGGAGACTTCGGACTATCTGATATTAGGACCGATGTTACAGCTGACAACGCCGAGATGTACTCAGTGGTTAATCGTGAAGGTATCAACTAGAGTGGGCCAAGAAGACCTTCGGTAGACGATCAGAATGAAAAGTTCAGTCGATGATACCCCGAAGGTCGGCAGAGCCCTTGTTTCACTGCGCCTTGCTAAGCCGGCTTCTACAACACGGCCAACATCCGAAGAGAAGCCTCCCCCAATACACGTGCTCGAGTTCATGTAGCATTCCCAGCTTACGGTCACCAGACTAGACCCTAAAGGTCCTCGGCATATCATCGGAAGGAGAACTGCAATTAACAGTTGCTTGACGGTAGTCAGAGCCCGCATTCTATCTTGGTATAGTGGGCTTAGAGCGCCGAGCCATCTACAACTTCCGCGACATGTTCGCTAAACTACCCCCGAACAAGAAACATCGCAAGTATCTTAGATATTGCCAAACTAGGTCGTAAAGGTCTACGGTGCATCATCAGAACTACATCTTTAATTGACAATACTCTAGCTGCAGTCAGAGCTGCCACTTAATCGAGACTTCGATTCACGCAGAGCGCCCAGCGACTTGGAATCTCTGAAATACGCATACCGTAATTTTACGAAGAGGCACTCCCGAACGAGAGATATCACAATCGTTAGTAACGCTGCCAACCCGAAGCCTGAAGGCCTTCAACACATCAAAAGAGCTCGAATGCTGACTGATCATACCATGAGCGTTGAGATGGTTGTAGCAATCTTCTTCGTCTGCGATGTGCTGTTGGAAGGCTTTCATCCGAGAATTGGCCGTTCAATACGCCCACGGATGTAAACAATGACGTCTTGACACGCGATGAAAGGTTCTACCGTATCGTTGAATAATGTAGGAGATAGTTGAAAAGTAGCCACAGCGACGCGATATGCAGTTCACAAGGATATTGAAAGCGTTCCTGAAACATGTGGCGATTGACGGGTAAATGATGTCACCTCTGGAATGCGGTCACAGCGGTTTCAAGCCTCACAAAGATGTTCCTCACGATCCTTCACCTGCACAATTAGCTCATTATGCTTACTGTTCACGTCAATGTTCATAGTCAATATGTTTAGTACCTGACTACCTTTGTTGATGCTTCAACACCTCCAGGGCGGCGTCTGACGTTCGCGATGGCACTAGGGACCGGGGACCGTGGCGCATGCGGCTGCAGGGCTCTTCCTGTACTTTCATCCTTGGCCGATGGAAAGCCATTCCGTACTCATCAATCCATTGCCTTTTTTGCCTTCTTGTTTGCGCCTTCTACTTTAATTCCACAGCAGCCGCCTCGCACTGCTTCCTTTGTTCACGCGCGTCATCCCGATTGGCATGCTGCTTGGCCGAGTCTCACTCGCCGCCTGCAAACGAAGCTTCCTTGCGACACCTTCACGCACCCTACCGCTGCCCGCATCACGCCCGCGCTCCCTCTTTCACACGCAGCACTTCACGAGGCTGTCTAGCTTTAGCGCACACTCCCTCGGCAAACGCTCCCTCCACACGTCGCCGCCTATAAATACTTCCCTGCCAATGGAACAAAATGGCACAAGCAAGCGCAAGCAACCGCCAACCTCGCCCGCAACCGACCGTCCCAACAAGCAGATCAAGCCCGAAGTAGACTCGTATACCTCAAACGGCGTCATGTCGCACTCGCCGGACCTGGAGGAGCCCATGGACGATGCGCGCAGCGAGTACAGCGCCCACAGCTCCCCCGAGGCTCTCCCATCGTCGGCGCATATCACCGCCGTCACCGGGCAAGACACGGCAGAATGGCAGCGGACAATAGAGAACGTGGTCAAGAGCGTCGTGTCGATACACTTCTGCCAGACGTGTTCGTTTGATACAGACCCGGCCATCAGCTCAGAGGCGACGGGCTTTGTCGTGGACGCCGAGAAAGGCTACATCCTCACAAACAGGCACGTTGTCGGCGCAGGCCCCTTCATCGGCTACTGCATATTCGATAACCACGAGGAATGCGATGTCCACCCCGTCTACCGTGACCCCGTCCACGATTTCGGTATCCTCCGCTTCGACCCAAAGAAGATCAAGTACATGCCCGTCACCGCCCTGAAGCTCCGCCCCGATAACGCCAAAGTCGGTGTCGAGATCCGCGTCGTCGGTAACGATGCGGGAGAGAAGCTCAGTATCTTGTCGGGTGTCATCAGTCGGCTGGATCGCAATGCGCCCGAATACGGCGAAGGCTACTCCGACTTCAATACCAACTACATCCAGGCGGCAGCTGCAGCGAGTGGAGGATCTTCTGGCAGTCCTGTCGTGGACCGCGACGGGTTTGCTGTTGCGCTACAGGCCGGTGGACGTGCCGATGGCGCTGCGACCGATTACTTCCTGCCGCTAGACCGACCGCTGCGTGCTCTCGAGCTCATCCGCCAGGCCCAACATGTTACCCGAGGCACCATCCAGACACAGTGGATACTCAAGCCGTTCGACGAGTGCCGGAGGTTAGGTCTCTCGCCTGAGCTGGAGAAGGAGATCCGCACTCAGTTTCCTAAGGAGACAGGCATGCTCGTAGCTGAGGTTGTCCTTCCTCAAGGGCCCGCATCTACCAAGGTCGAAGAAGGTGATCTTCTGTTACGCGTCAACGGAGAGTTGCTTACACAGTTTGTCCGACTCGATGCGATCCTTGACGACAATGTCGGCAAGACCATCTCTGTGACCATACAGCGTGCTGGAGAGAACATGGATGTTGAGTTAGACGTTGGCGACCTTCATGCCATCACCCCCGACAAGTTCGTTTCCGTCGCAGGCGCTTCTTTCCACGACCTCTCATACCAGCAAGCGCGTCTTTACGCTATATCGCTCAAGAACGCAGGTGTATACGTCTGCGAGGCAGCTGGCTCCTTTAGGTTCGCTGACGGCTACACATCAGGATGGTTGATTCAGGAAGTTGACAACCAGCCAACACCCGACCTTGACACTTTCATCCAAGTCATGAAGAAGATCCCAGATCGCAAGCGAGTGGTAATGATGTACAAGCATCTGCGCGATTTGCACACTGCGAACACTAGTATTACTTCTGTCGACAGGCATTGGCATGCAAAGATTCGGGTAGCAACGCGTAATGACGAAACTGGCCTGTGGGACTTCAAGCCCCTTGCCGATGCCATTCCATCTGTGCCCCCAGTTCCTCGTCGTGCGAACTTCGTCAAGATGAGCTCAAGCTATCCCGAGGCCGTAGACATTGTCCGCAGCTTCGTCCGCGTTCATGTCTCTATGCCCATTAAGCTAGACGGCTTTCCTAAGATGAACAAACAGGGTTACGGTCTTGTTGTCGACGCTGAACAGGGTCTCGTCCTAGTCTCGAGAGCAATTCTGCCATATGACCTTTGCGACATCTCATTGATCATCGCTGACAGCATTTTCGTCGATGCCAAGGTTATCTTCATGCACCCATTGCAGAACTATGCCATCGTCAAATACGATGCCTCCCTTGTCAACGCCCCTGTAAAGACACCCAAATTCGCCACCGACTTCATCAAAAAAGGGGCCGAGACCATTTTTTTCGGCATCAACCAGAACTTCCGACCTGTCGTAGCAAAGACGGTTGTCACTGATATCACCACAGTCGCGATTCCAGCCAGCGCAATCACGCCGAGGTACCGCGCAACCAACTTCGATGCTATCACCGTGGACACGAACCAAGCCTCGCATAGTGGTTCTGGTGTGCTCATCGCGGAGGATGGCACAGTCCAGGCTCTCTGGCTTTCATACCTGGGCGAGCGCACATCACACAGCGGAAAGGACGTCGAGTACCACCTTGGTCTTGCAACGCCCAACCTCCTACCAGTTCTCAACGAGATCCGTGGCGGTAACACACCCAAGCTACGTATCTTGAACGTCGAGTTCCAGACCGTCCAAATGAGTCAAGCCCGTGTCATGGGCGTCTCAGAAGAATGGATCGAGAAGACCGAGACAGCCGATCCAGAGCGCCACCAGCTCTTCATGGTCCGCAAGGTTGACTCCGGCCACGGCGACGGTCTCAACGAGGGCGATGTCCTCCTCACTCTCAACGGCAAGCTTGTCACACGCTCCCCCGATCTGGACGTCATGTACAACAACGAGTTCCTTGACGCCGTTGTCGTGCGCAAGCGTGAGGAAAAGACCATCAAAGTCTCAACCGTCGCAACCGAAGATCTCGAAACCGACCGCCTCGTTAGCTTCTGTGGCGCGACCTTCCACCGCCCACACCAGGCCGTCCGCCAACAAATCAGCAAGATCCACTCCGACGTCTACATCTCGTCACGAGCCAGGGGCTCGCCAGCATACATGTACGGCCTCGCGCCCACCAACTTCGTCACACACGTCAACAATGTGCCCACACCTAACCTCTCCGAGTTCCTCACTGAGATCAAGAAGATCAAGGATAACGAGTACTTCCGCATGAAGGTCATGACGTTTGATAATGTACCGTGGGTTGCGACGATGAAGAAGAACGAACACTACTTCCCTACTATCGAGCATATCAAGGATGCGAGCCAGCCGTTGGGGTGGAAGAAGATTATTCATGAGTGTGGGGATGGGGGTGCGATGGAGGAGATGGGGCCGGATGAGCTGGAGGCTGAGGCGGGGGAGGAGTAGATGGAATTTGGGAGGAGGAAAGGCAGAGGTGCGAGCGTTTCTCGCCGTGTAAGATGTAGCGTATGAATTCTCCATGGATAAAGCCACGATGTACCACAAGCATGACTAGCTGGATATGCACTTTGTGAAAGAGCTTGAAGGTGACAGAGTCATGTAGTCCATTATCTGATCTCCATTACGCAGACGTATTCTTCAATCCCTTTCTTAGCCCAGATACAATGACCGCCTTGTCGAAATGACCGACTACTATCACGCCATACTCTCGCAGTCTCAGTCTAGTCTCACGCCGCTAGAAGTCCCCGATGCACACCGAGGTAAACTAGCTGAGAATCTAGAGATACATCAAACCATCTCCTCATCCAGCATCTCCTCCTCCACAAGCCCCTCTTCTTCCTTAACCTCCGCCTTAACCTCAACCTTTTTCTTGCGACCCCGGGGCGTAGCTTTCTTGTTCGGGGAACCCTCCATCACACCCTCCTCACCCTTTCCATCCTCGCTGCCGTTACCAGCACCAGCCTCGACATCAGCCTTACTCTTCCGCTTCCTATGCGTAGCCTTAGCCTTGGGTTTCTCGGGCGAGGCGTCGGTAGCAGCAGTAGTAGCGGCAGGAGCGAAAGCTTGGCCGTTCTTGATCCTGGCGATATCGTCTTTGTGCCTTTCCTTCAAGCGGACAAGGAGTTTCTTGCACGAGGTTGTTGAGCGGCCGGCGGGGATGGGGGCGTTCTGCGAGCTCGTTAGTTTTGGGAGATACATTAATGAGTTGAGCGTGGGTTGTTGGCAGTGGCTGGTATGTGGTGGTTTGAGGACTTACGTTGATCTTAGCGTCGATTTTGCCTTCGTTCTCGCAGAGGATGATGAGGTATGCGATCTTTGTTGTTGTTGATGATTAGCTCATGGGCCCGGGATGGGAGAGTGAGAGAGGACGTACTTTCTCGCCTTCAGACCAGGCGGCACCGCTTGCGCCGGTTTTGTTGGGAGTTTTGATCTCGTTGTCTGACATTTTGGAGGCTCTGTTGATGGTGTGGGGATACTGTATTTGAATGATGGGGAAGTGGATATAGTGTGGAAGGGTTGGTCAAAGGCAGGAGGAGGAGAGGGAGACGTATTTATGAGGATGAATGGTGTGTGAAACGGCAGTTCTGAACTCACCTTCACGTCGCATTTGCGATGAAGTGAGCCGGTCTGTCCTTGATAGGGAAGTGAACAGTGAGGTGAGGTGACGGCGCGTACTTCTGGACTTGGATTTTATCACGGTGAACTGGGCTTTCTATGTGCGCTTTGAGAGACAGTGCTGGGACTTGCTTTCTGCGTTTATCTTTTTCTTCTATGTTCTGACAGCATGGCTTCTGTGGTTGATCCTATTACAAAGGATCTGGCAGTATGATAATTATGCTATCGTGAGCGTAGTCATGTCGTCAGCCAATTCCGAGCCTCGTTCTACTTACAGCACTAGCCCGCGTCGAGATTAGCCCCACAGGCCACCTACTGTTTTCTTCTCACCCCACGCGTCCATTTCATATCCCACAAACACAAAGATGCTCGAGATAGCTTGCTTCAATGCTACTTCTGCCATCGCAGCAGCGCAAGCCGGGGCTGATCGCATCGAGCTCTGTGCCGACTACGCAGCTGGTGGGGTAACGCCTTCCCTCTCCACGCTACAAGATGTACGGAAGGAAGTCACGATCCCGATCAATGTTATGATCCGGCCACGAAAAGGCGACTTCAACTACTCCGACGAAGAGTTTGAGCTCATGAAGAAAGAGATGGACATGCTTAAGCCTGTTGCCAGCGGCTTCGTTTTTGGCATCTTGGACGCCAATCAACGTATAGACGAGGCTCGTAACCGCGAGCTGGTCGAGATTGCTGCTCCGCTTCCTTGCACGTTCCATCGCGCGATCGACGAAACAGTCGATTTAGAGAAAGCCGTAGAGACCGTTGAGAAGTGCGGTTTCAAGAGCATCTTGACAAGTGGCGGAGAGAAGACCGCGAAAGAAGGGACTGGTGTTCTCCATTACTTGCAAGGAGTGTGCCGTCCGAAGGTCGCATTGATTGCTGGCGGTGGGGTCAGAAGCAACAATGTTGAGGCTCTCAAGACTAGAACCAAGATAGGATGGTTCCACTCCGCAGCCATCACAACGCCTGGAGAAGATGTGGACACTGAGGAAGTGAGAACGATGCAGGAAGTGTTGTCGAAATTCACATGAGAAAAAGAGAAGACGTGGATATCAAGGGTACGATATTATTCATTAAGCGTGGCGCATCAATGCTGGACTGCTACAAGATGTATACGACATGCATGTGCTAAGGATCCAGCGGGTATCATCCATTCGGGATTGCCTCGAATACAACTCCTGACGCTACTCTACTCAAACAGTTCACTGCGATGCGCATGACATCGGAGAGCAAACTGCTTACAAAAGCGCGTATAGCAAAGCGCCGATCACTGACATTCCAAAAGACCTTGTTGTGTCCACAGACATCTGTCCGGCAGCTCCAGTAGATTGGGGCGAGGCATCCGAAGCTTCGGGAGTTTGCGTCACAACGTTGGTCTTAGCGGCGATTGTTGTGGCTTGCGTAACGGTGGTAGCGGGTACAGTGGTTTTGACCTCGACTCCGCTGACAGTTGCCGTCTCGATGGTTTCCGCGACCGTGGTCGGTGCCGAGTATGTGACGGCGGGGACAGTGGTTGTGTAGACGATGACCTTTCCAAGTTCTGTAATTGGGACCGCTCCACCCACACCAGTACCGGTGTACTGTGCAGGGACCGAAAGGGTCGAAGTGTTTGGCTTCTCAGCCTCGTTGTTCGCGTAGATGTTGGCGCTTTGGCCGTCCTTTGTGTAATCTCCGCTGATGAGATTGACATCGGTGCCGCCAGAGCTGTAGGTTCCGGCAGCGACATTTCCGTAAGAGCCATCTGGGAACTGGAAGTTGGTGGTGAACTTGTCGTAGCACATGGGAATGTTGATGTTCTTCACGTTGACACAGTCCAGGCTCTGACGGCAACCGAAACCGTCAGCACGTCCGTGTACAGATCGCTTGTCGAAAGAGATGCCCTGAATCGAGGAGAGGACGTCGGTGTAGAGAGAGCTGAGTTCTGTGCCGACTGCTGGTGGAGTTGCGCCCGTCGCTCCTTGCGGCTGGCATGCCTCGTAAGGGTCATCATTCGTGGCTTTCGCCATGGAATCGAATGGCGACGCAGTTGCGACGGCTGCAAGAGCGAGGGAGAAGAACTTCAGAGACATTTTGTTGGGATGCAGTGTGCCGTTGGGGGGAGTAGAACTTCTGGTACCGAGCGATGGTTATAGGTATTACACGATTATTACAAGGTGTAGTACTGAATGACCGACGACTTTCAACAAGAGTAACGAATGGCAATCGCAGGCGCGCGAATGTAAAAGCGAGTGACGGAAGGATACGACGGAGTACTCGCCAAGGGTCAGAGGGGCACCCCGAGTCTATATACTGACTGTGCCCATATCGCTGATTCTAACAGGGTTTAATCAGGCTCGATTTTACTATGCCGAACTAGCCAACAGGCACCGTGCGCTTTACAACTGACGGCGCGCCACAATGCGAGAGGGCGTTTACCAACTGTCTGGGATCTGTTATCCGTTGGGCGATCATGTGTTCATTCCCCAAGACCTTGCCCAGGAGCGGCCCTCGTATTGGGTTCCCACAGGATTGGCTGCCATACACACACAGCCCAAAGATTTGGCCCCGCCAATGAGAACACCATCGCATCTGGCAGTTCCAGGAAAGTCAGCCGCGATGCCAGAACTTTACTCATGCGCTGCTCATGCGACCGACTGAAATGCCATGCGTCAATAACGCACCGCTAGCCATTAAACGAGGTCAGGTCGCCTGATTCGCCGGGAGATATATCGGCAACCTCCAACCGAAGCGCTACTCACGGACTCTTTTTCTCATCCCTTAAGCCACGAAAAGGCCTTTAATTCGAGATCACGAGAATTTGCAGTGCCGATATCCTTCCGTCTTACTCCAGGTTTGGCCGAGCCCACAATGCCTATCCATCAACAAATAAAGAAAATTGCGGGCTTCAGCGTCATAAGCGGCAGCGCCGAGTCCCATCCGGAACAGGTATTGGGTGTCTGGCCCTGGTTGGTCCCTGACAGCACACCCACAAGACTTGCGGCCACGCGCACGCTGCCGTCCCAAATTTCTCTGCAGCGCTAACACGCGACGGTTTTTGTGCTACGGTGATCATTCCCCTGAGCGGCGATAGCGCTCATATCAAGACTTTGTGGACAGCTCGGCGTTCGCTCGAGCCTTACCTTATTTTGGCCCGCCCAGGTACAGCGTACACCACCAAGACTTTGTATCCTCATGCTAAGATAGGTAGCCGGTCAACAAAAAGACGATAAGAATAGCTTTGTCTTTGCGTTCTTCTAGATCATGTATTAGCTTTGCGCTGACCCAATGAAATCGCCAGACAGCTAAATTATTTCCTGATAATTCGCGCGTTCGTAGTGGAATGCCTGCGGTTATTCGGCACTCGATTGGGTTCCTGACCGAGATTGACTTTCGTGTCTTGCTCGCTTCGTCGCGCGTTTCTTTATCGCGGGACCAAATTCACGATGCTACTTCGGACTAGGGAAAACGGACTGGCGATTATTATCGGTTCATTCCCGTGCCGTCGTTTGTTCTCAACTAGACAATACGTCGCGTGCGCTGTTCCGCTACGGTACAGACTACAGTTTACCCCACCCCACCACCGTGCCAAGGGGTGTAAGCAGGGCTAACTAATAATAGAGTTTTTCGGTGATCGACGCAGGAACAAAGCAGCCACTAGCTTGTGTCTACATGCGAGACGCATTTGATAAGAGGACGTCATGGAGATGCTTTGACTTGATCAGTGTGTGCGGTACTGGTTTACAGTCTCGACCTGTCTGCGCGGATCCGTCAACCGAGCTTTCTGATGTGCACGCGTGGGGCTATCCGCGCTGGCACCCAAGGAATTTTCCAATGAATTTCTATACGAGATAGGACCGATAGCGTGGAATCGGATATGTGGCGCGACCGGATGCATATGTGCTGTGAGAGCACGTGCAGTACCCGATCTGAACCACATCGTAAACCATTGACGAAGTCCAGATTTGTCTTTCTTCAACATCGGTAACTCCATTTGTTGTGTGTTTTGGTACAGGTCAATTTACTTTTCCGACCTCGCGTATACGTTCGTTTTTGCTGCGGCGAAGCGATGCTGGATGCCTGCTTGTTTGCGTCAGAGACACCTGACGTATACGGAACTTGATATTGTAATCCAGAAGCACTTCTCAGCACTTGCACGTTGTAGGAGATAGATGTACATGTGCAACAGAATGAATATCTGGGAGATGTTGTCACGACGCAGATTGCGCGTTAATTTATTGACATTGTTTATAGGCAAGGGTTGGCTATCGCAAGGCACTGCGAGGAGGTGTAAGCTCCCAGCGATACGCCTGAGGAAGCCAAGAAAGAGCCAGGAAACTAAGTGCGTGTGTTGGGTACAGTGAAAGAGACCTTGGAACCATCATCGACGAAAATCGATCAACAGCATAGCGCCATCATCCCCCAGCCATCCCATCTCCGAATATCTTTCTCATGCTACATTTCTAACTGAGACCCTACGCGCAAATCTTCGTACCGGGGATAGGCTTGCAACACTCGCGCATAAAGCTCCCCCCGACCACTTCTGGAAACATGCTCGAAGGACCGATGACTGCATTTACACATGCTCCCCGCACGTAGTTGTCGGTCGAAGATGCACCACCTTGGCAATTTGCGTCAAAGTAGACCTTCGTCTCGCAGATGACCACGTCATCGCCCGGAGAATTAGGCAGCGCGTAATTCTTTGCGCTGAGAAACTCGCCATCAAAGATCCCAGTCTCGGCTCCATTGTAGCATTTGTTGTTCTCGACCTGAAATTTCGCGAACATCACCGCGTCGAGGTTGAATGGGATTGAGACTGCGAAACAGCCGGTCCCGGTGTAGACTTGCACTTCACCGGTTTACACGGTTTGCCGGTTTGAGAGGGCGGGGGATGCAGCAAGTGGACTTGCGAAGCTGGCGATCAAGACGGCCTGTTGAACAAGTCTTGGGTCAGTATGTGCACTTTTGGGGTGACAGGTAGAAGTGGATGGTTCGGTAGTTACATACTGCGATGGAGAGTCTCGTGCCGATGGTCGATGGGATTGCTTGGTGGGATAATTGCTAGCTTTTCTACTCTTGTTCTTGGGATGCTTGTTTCGTAAGAGATGGGGGGCTGGCATACTCTTTATGTCTATCAATTGCAAACTGGCACGTGAGTCTTGCGAGGACGCCAGTTGCGAAGTTCAAGAGAAGTGCTGTTGGGTGCGACCAAAGGCTTGAACGGATCTGCATGGCTCACCCAAAATGAGAAGGTATGTCTTGCTTCTTCGTAGATCAAGTTATACCAGGTCATGCTTGGAGCGATATGTATGTTAAGCCGTGTCCTCATGCTAGGATCTATCAAGGATTTCCTTATCCCATCTTTCTGTATGACCGGAATACGATGGGTCGTGGCTGAGCTAATCAGTGTATGTGCTACTCGAGAGTTGTATTGAACAAAAAGGCGTGATATCCACGCTCCTTATCTGCGGCTGAACTCGGGAAACTTCGGAGTTGGCAGTGACCACACTGTTCTTTGATGGTCGGCGACCTGACGCCATGAGGACACAAGTATATTCACTAGCGGCGTTTCCAATAGCTGCATGGTTGAGGCAGTAAAGCGAGACATGAATCTTTGGAACGGGCACCTTCCATATCTTGGCACTGGTCGACATGCTACTCATCATCTTGATGATGGGTACAGCATTGGTCTTGGAGTGGGATACTGTGGACGGTAAGCAGCTAATTCACTCGGATTGCAGAACAACACGTAGAACAGTGTAATATACGTAGAATACTATTATACAGTGTCTTTTCGCATACGGGTGCGGAATTCCCATCTAAGTGCGGTGTTCCGCTGCAAGTGCGGAATTCCCGAGATCACTAACTCCACAAAACACCGGGTAAGGTGGCCGATAAATACATAGTCACCTTCGACAGTATCTGCTGTAAATACCCTGAGTGACTTTGTAGCTGTTTTACCCAACAGCCCCGTACGTTGCTTACTACCACCTGATTCGACATCACACCCGAAGTTAGTGCCGCCCCATTGTGCCAGGCATCAACGCACTGATAAGTTGACTTCGCCCCAGCATCATCCACCGGAAATAACTACACGCATCTTCCGCCACTGTTCTGAGCAGCTGCTTATCAACCAAGTCGCCGATATGTTTGAAACACCCGAAGCCATCGTTGAAAACGCCTATGATCACATCGCACAATGGTACCTAGATTGGGTCGAAAGTGATAAGTCGCCGCGCGAAAAATACGTAAAGAACCTTCTTGAAAGACTGCCACCATCATCATGCGTTCTAGAGCTTGGCTGTGGCCCCGGTGTGCCGGTACTAAACATGTTGCTGAATGGTGGAGCCCAGGTGACGGCCAACGACATCTCTGCAAAGCAGATCGAGATGGCTAAAGTTCGCTGCCCGCGTGCAAAGTTCGTGGCTGGTAATATGACCACACTCGCGTTCGAACCTGATAGCTTCCATGGCGTACTCAGCTTCTACACTCTGTTCCACCTTCCTCGCTCCCAGCTAAGAGACATGCTCGTCAAGATCTACAGCTGGCTGAAGCCTGGCGGTCTCTTCGCTTTCAACCTTGCGGACATTGATGAAGAGGAGATTCATGGCGAGATGATGGGGTATGGAATGTTCTGGAGCAGTTATGGAGTGCATGAGAATTGCGACATGTTGGAACACGTAGGCTTCGAGCTGTTGGAGGTGGAGAAAGTAAAGGCAGGCGATGGCAAGTTGGGAGAAGATGAACCAGACTATGATTCTGAGTTTGTTTGGGTTATGGCGCGAAAGCCAGAGGTTGATCGGGGGAATATTTAGCCGAACGCTCAATCAACATCAACTATGTACACCTCAATGACTGACGATCACTGATCCGTATTTGGTGCACCAGCGTTCCAAATTGTGTTTGTTCTGGGCGTCGATCGCCTCAATACTGGTACGACCCCTCGCATTCACGGGCCTCGTGCACTCTTCCTAGGCTTGCGTTGCCAGCCTGTCTTGAATTTGCCCATGCCCATCCTAGGAAACACATGCGCCTCGATGTTGAACACTACATCAGTGAGAGGAAGAACGTCGTCCGGTGAGAAGAGCAGGTATAAATACTTGAGCGTTTCGGCCTAGCAGAATATGTCAGTACAAAGACTAATCAAATCAACGCGCCAAGTACCAGCCAAAAGCTCTCCATATTGTCTCGTCGCGGAGGCGGAATAGCATTCACGTCATTGAGAGAAATGAAATCCTCTCGTAGCGGAACGGTCGAGTAGTCCAAGAAGGCTTGGAAGATCTCCCAGCCCCACTCTGGGTAAATGGGATCCTTTGTAATACGCCACATCATGAATAGACTTTCGACCGTTTCCGGTCGCTGGAGATTATGCGCATCAAGGGGTTTGATGTTGAAGTCTTTCTTCCAGACCTCTTCGGAGTTTGAACTGCGAGCCAAGGGCGCGCGCGGCATACTCTTCCTAGACTGCAATGAATCATCGCTCGCCTGAAACCACACGAATTCCGGTGCTATACCGGTGTCGGTCACCTTGTACATGCCCCAACAGGTCTTTGTAAGCTTTCTTGCCAGTTTCATTTGTTGAGAAGTGTCGTTATTCCAGCTGGGTAGACGGCGGGCTTCAGCTTCGGTGAGCCCGTTTGTCGCTCCGAGTGCGATGGTGCCGGGGGGAAAGCAGACAAGAGGGTCCATCTTTGGCGATAACGAGCCGCCAATTTCGCTAGGTAGTTCGGCGACGATGATAAGCTTTGCATGCTTGGTCGGAATGATCAGATGCTTCTGAATTCCTATCAAAGCCTCCTCCCACATCTGGAGGTAGATTGGCTCGGATGTTTGTAGATACTGCTTGATGAGGTACTCTACGCGAATTAGTATATGAAGAACTGATCGGATACATGAGGTATTTTACCATATTATGAGTCGCCTCGACTTCCGAGACGGATTTCTCGCGTCGTAAACTGACCCGAACGGGGCGTAATGAAGATTGGTATGAGACCATCGTGCACGTTGACGCTGTCAACAACCTCCATAACCTTCTCAGCTTTACGCCAGTATATCTCGTTGCCGGTAACGTTCGACAGGTATTTCATCTCGATCTGTAGTGTTGTTGCTTCTGCTGTCGACGAAGCGCCGCCATCAGCATCTGACACAAGACCTCTTCGGCTTGCCAAGTGGATGCTTGAGTATGGTATTCAGGATGGCGAATCGTAGGCTCCGAGAAGCCGGTCGGCCAGATCCACAGCCTTGCTAAGATAGATGCTGTCTCTCCGCGAAAAGACATCGGGTAGCACTGTGGTAAGATATTGTGCGGAAAGCAAGCCGCCCAACATGCGTATCGTGGTCTCGGACGTATTGACATCTTGATCTTGCTCATAATCTAGGCTGCGATGCAACCAGCTTCTTGCATCGGCTAGTTGAGATGCAAGGTTCATGATCATCATCGTGTCGAGACTGTCAACGATGATCCAACAAAGTCCCTTCGGGCTCATCATTGAGCCTTGCTTGGAAATCGGGTGAAACTGATCATAGCCTGTATAATGCATAAGTTTCAAATTCCTATAGGAGTAAGGGGCTCACAAACCCCAGGCGTATTTGGAATACGCATCCCAGCTACTGACAAAAGCATCTTTGACCTGCTGCCGTCGATTCTCCCACTCGCTAGGCGGGGTGGACCGCCACTTCCGAGTAAGAGCCGGTGAGATAGCTTGTAATGAAAGCCAGAGACAGACAGAGGCTCCGAGGAGAGTCGCCGCTGTGAGGTATGGTGTTTTAGAAACCCACCAGGGGGATGAAATTGGCGAGGATGTTGCGTGGCCATTGACCTTTCGAGCATGGCTTGTCTCGCGTTTGCGATTTCGCACAGAAGAACGCGACATATTAAGAAGTTGAAGTTTGATGAGTAGTGAGGAAGTAGAATCGAATATCTCCAGGTAGCCATTGTTGACATCCCTCTTCGGTTCGATGAAAAGATTACGACCACGCCACACTGTCACGTTAGCGCCGGGAATTGAAACCGTGCGTACTGCATATCTCAAATGATGATTGTAGGAGGCTAATCATAAGGCAAATCCATGATCAAATCGTTCGCGAACCAATACAAGTGACATCCGTTGCTCATGCGGCGCAGGCGTAGGAACGAGCTTAGGGGACGCGCCTGATGACCCTGCCTTGCAGCATGAAATGAGACTTCGTCAACAATACCCATCGCTCGTACACGAGACCAGCATCTTGACCCATACAGTTGAAATAATCCAACCCTGGAGGTTACCACACAATGGCAGATCTTTTTGCAATGCCAGCTACGCCAGAGACCCATGCCGGCGAAGTAACCTCATGGATTCCGCTCATAAGTACCTTCACGCCATTGTCTGGCTGCGAATCCGTCTTCAGACTCAACGGACCTAATCTGATAGCGTTCGATCCAGGCTACGGTCTCGACATCGATGAGAACGTTGACTGCGTACCTTCCGCGGTGACAACGTGGTGGGAGCAGGCACGACTGGGTGTCGGCGGCGAGAAGCATACAGCACTGAGCATTCAGCCTCTAATATGCCCGGATCTGTGGACGACTGTCCTGGCCTACGTGACGGATACCTCTACAATCCAGATTATGTGCTGTCCCTCGTAAGTTAGACATGCTCCCTCTTTCGGCGTTGAAACTTACACGCTCATAAAAGCTACTCCAACCCGTTCCACAAAAGCGGCCCCGTCAACGGTGATTGCGTCTCCAGCGTCTCCAAAAGGATGGTCTTGACGTACACATCTACACCTTACGGCTCTTCCAACGACTGGACCATTGAAACAACGACGGCAGCTTGAGATTCAAGTGTTGGAGCTATCGCAGTAGTGGGCTTCAACGTCGCTCGTGCACCTCCGAGCTCTACACCGAGCCCTTCCGGAAGCTCTACAAGTTTCGCAAGCTCGTCCTTCACATCCGCATTGCCAGCTATGTCGACAAGCGGTCCGTCACTAACTTCTTCCGGTTCCGCCGGCCCTCCCGCGGACGGCGGAATGTCAACCGGCGAGAAGATCGACATTGGCTTGGGTGTTACACTCGGCGTGATTGGTACTGCTGCACTTACCTTCGCTATGCTGTTACTTCGTCGAAGAAATGGAAAGCGATCTGACGCGCCTAACACGTCGACGCCGGTAGCCGAAAGCGAACACAAGCCGATGGAGACATATCAATTCTCTCAAGGATACGAACATTACGTCTCTGAGCTCCAAGGTCGTTGCTTACCTCACGAACTACTCTCTCAAGAGCCTAAATCTCCAGTTGAGGCGGGATACCCTGATCGATGATAGTCATTTCTGGGAACAACTTGTGCTTCCACACCTTTTATCGTCTATAACAGATTTTCCGGGTCGAGACGTGGCTGGTCCACAACGAAGGAGGGCGGGGGTCTTAGGAAGCGCGCTGGCGGACGATACGATCGCTCAGCTCGTTGGCTCTAGTATCGCTTCACCAGAGATATTCCTTCTTGATCCAAGTCTGCTAGCATGCTGCAACACTCGTGGTAGCGCATTCGTGCCAACAGCTTGATTGACCCAGTAACGGGGATGAGGAGTATACGACCTTTGCGCCCGAACATTTCGCTTCCCATCTCTTTCTCTTGCGCTTTCAGCAATTCCTGATTTGCTACTCCCTGTTGCAATTGTTTCTGGTGCATACTGTATGATAATGGTAGCGGTTGTTGAGTCGACGTTCACATCGGTGGTTGGACTTTTGTCAGAGCAACGAGGCCACGTTATTGACCAGGTTTTGTTGGCTTGGCGTACGTCGTAAGAGCAACTTTTTTTCGACGTTATGCGCATCCTCAAACTACCCTCACACCAACGCCTGTCAGTCGAGGTGTACTTTGCCTTGGTATCGACTTTTGCGACCGATGTCAAAAGTTAATCGCGTTGAAATGCATCTAGCCTCCTGGGCGTGCTTCCCTCCGGTTACCTGCTCATCGGTCTCTTTACATCATCCCGTCATCGAAATCCATCTCATATCGCTCTTTGAAGATGGGGACACGTTGCGCAAATGGCGCAATCGCTGACATCCGGCTCATACGGCGAATTCGGACGAGTCGGCGATTCCGATAGTGCGCATGCGATCCTAAAGAAGCGCAAAACGCGACATACGTAAGCAGTTGCGTCAGTGCCTGAGGTACCTGCAGAAGAGACACCAGGCAGCAACGTTTGGAAACGCCTCAAGTTGTGTTTGTCGCGTCTTGTCGCGTTCCTGGTGATATCAGAAAGGGACGACAGCATGCTGCGCCACTGTTTTGGGCGCAGCGCTAAGCCCAATCTGGTGGTGCTTGCGAGAAAAATCAACCACCACAACGGCTGCTTCCTGCGGTGGTCATCCCGGTGCGGCAGACCAATCGACTCGGACTGCCATGCCATCCCTCGTCCGGTTTCAGAATGAAGTTTGCAGCCCTGTCATCGCCTTCTCGCCCTTCTGATAGGTCCATTCAAATACGCTGCTTACACGTTGGGTGGTCCGATCGCGAATTCTTTCCCCAGCGAGTCTTCGCACTGCCGGCCGAACGCTTTGTCCAACCTACGTCGACGTCAATTTCCTGAGCTTATCGTCGCGTACCTCGGTGCATGGGAATCGGCCTTGCGCTCATCTACAGAGCTTGTCAGATATAGGCGAGCTGAAGCTTGTCGCTTGGATCATTTGGTAATATAGGCTTGATCGTAGTCGTAGCTCCAGAGGCGGAGTTGCCTGGAATCCGATTAGGAACATCGTTGTTTGCCTACGATATCTTTATAGTCAGAAGTTAAGGCCTGAATCTGGAAGGCAAGTCTTGTCTTTGGTGTCTGAGTCTTGTCCTGTCGCCTTCTTCTATTCTTTCATTCCTTAGCATACCTTATCACGATGGTCTACACCGGAAAGCCGAGCCGGGGGTGTGGAATGTGTAAAAGCCGCCGAATAAAGGTATGTATTACCTCGCGACAATTACTCTTTTCCCTCGACTAACGGTGTCGCCTCCGAGCGTGTTCGGATGCGCTTGCCTGAGGCCGCTTTTTGGCTCGGCTACTGACTGCGCATAGTGCGACGAGAAAAGACCAACATGTGGCAACTGCAAAAAGTCCACCCGAGTATGTCCCGGCTATCCTGATGACTTCGACCTGGTCTTTCGAGATGAGAACAAAGCTATGGCCAAGAAGGCGAGGAAGTCTTCGGGAACAACCGCATCGAGCAATAGCAATGGTGCGTCAAGCTCCAGCACTTCACCGCATTTGTATGTACTATACTATTCTGCCCATGTCGACTCGCTTCGTGCCCCCGGGGATACCGACAAGCTTTGCCGAGCAAATGGATACCCTCGTAGGCGGTATGCGTTCTGCGAGTGTTCGCATGTGATTGTCTCAAGCCGAAGACCCACATCGCAATTTGTACACGCTAATACTAGTAGGTCACCCTCTTCGACGTTCGATGTATCACCAGGAGAGAATGCAGTACCTGGGGAGAAAGCCTTCCAAATAATAACCTCACGATCACGGACACCTCCAGACTTGAGTCCATCACAACAAATACTGGCTCTGTCCAACTACACAACACCGCCACTGTCTCTAGATCAGTCGTTTGACTTCGAGGCGTTTGTATGGAACCTGGAGAATGCAGTACCACCAAGCATAACACTCGCGCCAGAATGCGAAGCCGTACCGTTCTTCTTCAAAAACTTCATCACCCTTCCACAACAAGCCGAAAGCACACGAGGATATCTCGAATATCTGGTACCACTCTACAATCGTGCCCGCCCATCCTCGGTTCTTCATTTGGCTACTACAGCTGTTGCAATGGCAACATGCGGTCAGTATCCTGGCCGACAACAGCTCCTCCGTGAAGCGGTATCCACCTACGGCAAAGCAATCAAGAAACTGAACGACGATCTGAAAGATCCTGCCATGGCGAAGAGCGATGAGACGGTGCTGGCTATTCTAATGTTCTCATTATATGAAGTAAGTGCACCAACTGTCTCTAGCAGATCCCCGATAGCCTTGTTATCTATACCGGGATGCGTTTCTTGAGCTAACGAATTTCAGACTATCATGAGTACAGACGATACCATCACTGCGTGGGGAAATCATGTCGATGGTGCTGTGGCATTAACAAAGCTAAGGGGCATCGAACAGTTCAACGATCCAATGTCTCATGCCATGTTCCGCGCCGTACGAACGATGATGGTAAAACGAATGTCATGTCTACTGCATCTCATACGCTAACGAATTGTAGATCACAAGCTGCGTCCAACGCTCAAAACCCATCGATTCTTTCCCAGGCACCGGAGGCTGGGTCGGCAACGGTGACATCTCCGAAGAAAACGCTGCCAATCGCTTGACACTCATCTGCATTGACCTCCCAAACCTCCGCGCCCGTGCAAACATCCTCACTACCACACCCTACGACCCTGCCTACGAATCAGAAGCGAAGCAAATCCTAGACCTCGCGCAAATGGTCGACGGAAACCTCGAAGAATGGTACCGCACCCTGCCGCCAGAATGGAAACATAGGATCATCGGTGTCGCCAGCGATCCAATCGTACCCGAGGAGATCGCGCTGGCGGAAAGATGGCCAGGCGAGCAACACGTATATCATGATGTGTCGTTGGCGAGCATAATGAACGACTACCGTGTTTGTCGGATATTCTGTCGAAGAGTCATCATGGCATGTGTGACCTGGCTCAGCATCGGTGGCAACTATGCAGATGGCGATGAGACGTGGAGTAAGAGCGTGTTCGTCATTCAGCTGATGGTCGATGAGATTAGCGCTTGTGTGCCATTCCACATGAACTACGAGTTGCAACCCGTGGCCAAAGAAATGGGTCAAGAGCAAAATGGTAAGGAAAAGTCCTTCGAACATGACATAAAGCATCGTGCTAACTGCTCTGTAGCTGCGGAGGCATTTGGCGGGTACTCGCTGGTATGGCCACTATACGTCGCAGCAAACGCGGAGACCGTACCACAAGAGCAACGCGACTGGCTGTTTGGTCGACTGTCTATCATTGGCACAAAGTTTGGGCTGAGTAGTGCTCAGGTGCTGGTGTTGGCCAGGAGACATGTTTTGACATGTGGACCCATGTTTCCTTGACACAGGCCCAGATGGGGCAATGGATCTGTAAGAATATGCGGCGGAATGAAAACATTTCAGTTCGTGGTCGGCAGCATCGCACTTGTATTATATCCAGCTTCGAACATGACAGTAAATGGGACTTTGTGGAGGGTCTAATATGAGCCGAATGTTTTGTTCCATGGATCGTCATCCGCATCTAGTAAGTGTTCATGTGACCCACGCGTTCGAAGCGGGTGATCAGTGGAGACATGCAACACGTCAATCGTCAGGCATCCTATCCTAAGCGAAACCCGCGTGACAACAGACATCACCAGCACCCATGATACAAGAAACAAAAGTTCATCTTGGCCGCTCACATGCCCGGATCATTGATCGAGGCATCATCCGCGGCGATCAGCTGCGGCCCGTTTCCGTGCCAAGGCTGACCCTTCAATTCGTGTTCGGGGTTTCATCTACTCAGCCACAGCCACGGCATCTATAGCAACTGTGGGCCCCTAGCCCTTCAACAATTTGCGCAAACCTAGAAGTCTTCTTTCTTGAAGTCTATCCGTATCCCTTTCCTCTCCAGCCTCATTCACAGACGCACTCGGCTCTCGCAAGGTTACCCCGCCACACGAACCTCAGCGCAACACCAGCCTCGCTACGTCATCACCACCACAACCATGGGCGCATTGAACCTCATCCCGCTCTTCATTCTCTTCGCGGTTGTTGGAGGCGTAGGATGGGTCGGCTATCAGGTAAGGCATCTCCCTGGTTATGCGCGCGGACGAAATGCTAAGCCACGCGCCACTACAGATCTTCCTTTATTCCAACGAGCTCGCCGAGCGCGGTGTCAAGAAGATGGAGAAGAAGAACGTCGTCTTCACCAAAGATGGCGCCAAGGTCGGAGTCAAGGAAGTCAACACAGAGGACTACGCAGATAAGACGCAACGTGCGTTTGTCAAGACATGGAATGCTGCGCACGATGGGTAGGTAGTCGTGAAGGACTATACAACACAAGGTGCACCGCTGACTATGTGATAGGGGATCCCCAGCTGCGCGAAGACCTACGAGATAGTTGTAAGACGTCATGCGATTCAAGTGCGAACCGATATTTCTTTTCTACGATACCTTTTTGTTTGGGCATGGGCGGTCGATATCGCCTTATTCGCATCGGCCGTCGCGAGCACGATGGGCAGGTTATACGAACAGGCGTCGGGAGGGTCTATATCACAATACCACATACCAAGATTGACGCGTGCGGCGACACACTCGGTGCATACATATGCAGTCTTTCTAGGCAGGATAATGAGGAGACGATGCTTATCGAGGCCCTATCAACATGACACTTTTCCCTCATACTGCTAACTGTTTGTGTGATAGTTTTTGCCCGTCAGGTAGCACGAAGAGCCGAAGATCATCGCTTCCAAACTGTGCCCACTGAGCAGTACCTGCCGACGTCACCTCGAACGACTTGTGCAGACTGAAATACGATCCGATTACGCGTCCACTCAAACTGATAAGCATACAAGAGCGATCGAACACTGGGCTTCGAGCTGTGCTCCGACATGCCGAATCTTGATTGCTGCTCGTACCCAATTCAAGAGCAACTTCGATCGGTAGCGCATCTATCCCATTCGACTATATACCCCCATAAGCCCGCTGTTGGGAGCGGGGTACACTCGAAGCGTGCATTCTTGGCCGGGGACGTTTCATCTAGACCCTGGATTGATGTATTTCGCTCATCGGTCGGCATCACATGTCACAGCGCGTACATCGAACCCCACCAGTATCGTCCTGCATGGGGGTTACAAGCATTGTGGACATCCTACGGACCGCGACGGGAGCGATACAAGAACGACATTCGGAGGCAGTGAGACGAATTGACCGAAGTGGTGGGGCAGGCGGGGTGTTGACCACAGTCTGGCCGATGCTTACGCTCTGTATGAGGGGACATTGAGTTTAAAGTTAACGATCAGATATCGATTCGTGCTAGCTTGCTTATGCCAGCACGAGCCTGAAGATCAACGACTCTCGCGCACGGACGTTCGATGTACAATCCCATGTCGTGAACTTTGTAGAAACCTAGGCGGAGCGTATGAAGCGGTCGTTCTACGGTCTTTCTGATTGACCCGGCGGATGATGCCTTGCTATATGACATCTTCAAGTCAAGCCGCTCTCCAGATACATAACGTGGGGATTATCTGGATTCGAGTCAGTATCGCTCAAGTGCAATCATGACGATTTTGACGAGTATCTCGACCACGGGCTTTGCGCTGTTCAGCTTGAAAGGCATTTTCAATGCGTTCGAAGTGGTTTTGGCTTCAGTGAGTATATACTTCACTCTCCCGAGGTTGCCGTCACCCTTGCCCCGGCTCCTGGCATCCGTCCTACAGTCTTGACAGCAGTAGACTATCCATTGCCCTAATCACTACCTTGAATCAGCCCAGCTATGAAACTATACTGACTTCAAACAGGCTATCATCTACGCTATCGGCTCAGTAATATACAACATCTTCTTCCATCCTCTAAGGCACATACCTGGTCCTCTCTTCGCACGCTCTACCGGTCTATGTTTCGCCCTACACATCCGTGATGGTAGTGTGGTCAAATGGATCAAAGAATGTCACGACAAGTACGGTGATGCAGTCCGTCTAGAACCGAATGAAGTCAGTTTCATCTCGGGAGAGACCGCGTGGCAGGATATCTACGGCCACAAACAAGTAAGGAACAAGAATGCCGAGAATTTCGTCAAAGATCTGAAGTGGTTGTAAGCTAATTCCGTTCGAAGCCATGAACGAGAAAATGCTGATCAGAAGATAGCCCCCGGCCTGTCAATGGCGTTCTGTCACTTCTCATAGCAGACGAAGAGGGACATCCGCGGCAACGCCGCAACCTCTCCCACGCCTTCAGCGACAAGGCTCTACGAGGACAAGAAAGCCTCATACAGTCTTATGTCGATCTTCTCGTTCGGCGTTTGGGCGAACACGCTGCCGAGGATGAAGACATTGATATGAGGACATGGTACAGTGCGTAACCCCCACGCAGCGTTTTCCACTCTAGGAAACTAGGCTGATCATACATAATAGACTTCACGACCTTTGACATCATATCCGACCTCACATTCGGCGAACCTCTCTACTGCCTCCGCGATTCCAGAGAACATCACTGGATATTCATCACCCTCCGCAGCCTCCAAGCCATCGCCCTCCACGTCTCCAGAGGCAAACACTTCGTATTCCGGTACCTCGACTTCGTGCGAAGTCTCTTCACCGATAATACAGGCCCCATGCGCGCCCGCTACGAATTTGCGAAACGGGCCCACGACATGGTAAGCAAGCGACTTGAAAAGATCCAAAGCGGAGAAGACACGCGCCCGGATTTCTTCACACACATCATCAAAAACCAAGACAAAGAAAACACACGCTTGACCCGCGCGGAAATGGATAGTAACGCTGTGGCTTTTCTCATCGCAGGCAGCGAAACGAGTGCGACGGCTCTGGCGGGAGCAACGTACCTCCTCCTCCGCAACCCACAGCCCTATAAGAAACTCGTAACCGAAATTCGGTCGCGCTTCTCCTCTGCGGATCAGATCACCGTGGATGAAGTCAATAAACTGGACTATCTAATTGCTGTCTTCCAGGAAGCGCTCAGATACTACCCGCCTGCTGCTACGGGCCTCGCTCGTGTGGTACCAGCTGGCGGTGATCGGGTCTCGGGCTACTACGTCCCTGGCGGGGCATCGGTATATGTTTCCATGCATGCCATGGGCCATTCTGAGAGGAACTATAGGGATCCGGACGCTTTTGTGCCAGAGCGCTGGTTGGGGGATGAGCGGTACAAGGATGATAAGAGGGCGGCGCATCAGCCGTTTAGCTTTGGGCCGAGGAATTGTATTGGGAAGACGTAAGTTCTCTTCTTTCTTTTCACACCACTCTCGTCCTTTTCATGGCCTGAACAGGTCCGTTTCAAAGAGGAGATAAGAAGGAAACGTCGGGCTGACATTATCGTCTCTAGTCTTGCACATGCGGAAACGCGCCTCATTCTCACCAAGGTACTCTTCGCTTATGATTTGGAACTTGTGGATAAGGAAACAAATTGGATGGACCAGAAGGTTTTTGCGCTTTGGGATAAAGGGCCTATGATGGTCAAGGTGAAGCCTGCACAGCAGCCGTGAGGTGTGGTGTCGCGGTAGGACGGACGGGCATTGTCGTCTTCGTTTGCACTGGCTGGTTCGTTCCACGAGCGAAGTAAGTCTTTGATTTGAGTGTGTGAGAAGGAGATTGCCTCCTCGTCAGCGTTATGATTGTATGAATCTATCATCTGTTGTGGTTTCGTTGCGGACTCATCTCATGCTTCCCAAAACACTTCCTACAATGTGTAGATGAACTCTGGGTTCTCTCTATCCGTAAGGTCAAGCCATCTGCACCAGTGATTAGCACCTGCACAACTGATCGATGCATTCGAGCGATCAAACTCACTCTTGGTTTTCGAGTTTCACGTATCCAGGCTCCGCCCGAATCTGCGCCTTCTTCTTATTCTGCCTTACGCAGTAGAAGTGGATGAATGCTATGATACCCAAGCAAACGCCATAACAGACGATGATCGTGATCTCAGCGGAAACGTAACGAGGCGCGTCTTGCTGGCGGAAAGTCTGGGGGCCTACATGAGTGAATTGCGTTAGTCAAAGCCGCTCGTTATGCTCGAAGCATACAGATAGTACGTACCAATGATATTACCAGCACAATATCCGATCAAATACATAGCCGCAACAGTCGTCTTCTTCGTGTATCCCGCTACATTACTCGAGATAAGACTGAGCAGAGCGACGAAAGGAGTGGGGCTGGCTTGGGTGAGATAGTAGCCAGCTAGACGACCGGAGTTGCTGGATAGAGGCAGTGCGACGATGAGGATCATGCCGATCATAGCAGTGGTGAGACCGATCATGGAGATGAGGAGGCGGTAGCCGTATTTGTCGCCAGCCCAGCCGCAGGCAATGAGGAAGACGACTTCGACTGCGCCGCCTGGGGTGCCGTAGAGGAGCGACTCTTCTGGCGTGTACCCGAAGCCGACGATGAGTTGGGAGAAGAAGTTTGAGATGCCGCCTTGACGGGATGTTAGTAGTCGTTTCGGTGAAGTTTGTGAGAAGCGTGTCTTACCGTTGGGTATATCAGCGATCAGCGCGTAGAAGAAGAACGCCCAGCTCAACGGATCAAGCAGCGCCTCCTTCAACTGATACCACTTGAAGTGCTTGTTACCCACACCCTGCGCATTAATCCTAATACGCTCAATAGCCAGAACCCGATCTTCCTTACTCAGCCACCTACAGTTCAACTGATTATCCGGCACTATCCACAAAAACGCGATACCAAGACACGTAGTAAGTAGTCCGGTGACCAAGAAAACAATCTTCCAAGGCTCCATGATAGTACCGTACTTGCGACAGCCCACAGCGATACCGTAGGCAACGCAGCCGCCGAAGATCTGCGCAAAACCGTTGAAACTGAACCAGATGGCTGTGCGTGAACCTTGCTCTTTCTTGGTGTACCATTGTGAGGTGAAGAGGGCGAAACCGGGGGTCACGGCTGCTTCGAAGACGCCGAGGAAGAAGCGGATGGCGATTGCTCCGGCGTAGTTTTCTACGGCTGCGAAACAGGATAGGACGAGGCCCCACATTATGATGTTGAAGGCCGCTTGGATATGTTAGTTCGTTCACGAAAGATTGGATAGGAAAGACAAGTAAAGGGAAGAGACTTACAATATTTTCCTAGTGGTAGAACTTGGAGTAAACGCGTGGTAGGATACTCCCATGCGATGTATCCAAAGTAGAACATACTACCCAGCCATGAGTACTGGTCTCCGACGAGACCAATACCAGATTTTAGTATGTTGTCGGAAGGAGGGAGTTTCAGGCCCATGATACTTGCGTAGCTCAGTGTGGTCTTGTCGAGGTAATTGAGACCGTAAACTACGCACATGATCTGGTGACCTCGTGAGCTCATATCCAGAATGTACTCAGGAACATTTGATAAACATCAGGACAATGCAATATACTTACGGGCATCATATGCATATCAATCTTCCTCAGCAGCGCTTTACTCTTCTCTTCCGTCAACTCCACAACCTGGCCCTCCATGCCCTCAAACGCCTTCATCGCGGCATCGGCATCGTGCGAGTGCTTCAAGAGTTTCTCGTCGAGAACTTTCTTGAGGCCTTTGCCGTTGTCTTCGACAATCGCTTCTTTCTCGACATCCAAGGGCGCAGGATGCGATGATGTAGGTGGGTGATCAGTCGCAGAGGCCATGATGTGATTCCTCGAGGGCGCTCGGTCGCTTCGAATAGCTGTCAATGGAAGAACAAAGACGCGCGACACTGAATCTCGAAAGTCGATGTCACGAAAGGAAATATACCACTACCAGAAAGACGACGCGACGTCAACGTCGACGCACAAACCTCCACGAACGATAGCCGACCTCCAACGCGCCATTGACGTCCCACCACCCATAATGATAAGCCACCCCTGCATCTCCCTACACGCGATACGCTCACGCCCGCAAGTTGCCGTACCACTGCGGGGTATCTCTCATGTTGACCCGCGGAGCTACTTAAGATAGGGTCTGACACTACATGATAGACAAGCGGCCTTCCTTAACAGGAAGCTGCGATGGGTGGCTAGTTCCGTTAAAATGGGGGTGATTGGGTAATTGCCGGGAGAGAAGCACTGGAAGCTCAGCGGAGACGTTAAACAAGGTATCGCAAGAGTCGCAAGAAGTCGGCTTGGTGATGATAGCGGGCTTGGCTTGCTGCTGGACGGTGTGGGAGTTGATAGGGAGAATGCTGGGTGATGGTGATGATGTCAGTGCTGAAAGCTTATCGCTAGTCGCGATTAGACACGTTAAGCATAAAGCAACGTTAAACTCTAAAGTGAACGTCAAGACAGTCACGGAGCGATCATATTCGAAAAAAATTGCATGCGATAGCGGTATGAAATTTTGCATTGCAAGCAGCGACAGACATCATAGCTAGCGTGATACGCATAGAACTTCGTTGACCAACAAAGTTGTGTGAAGGGATTACACCGTGAACTCCAGGCCCGATTATCGGCCGATGCTATGAACCGCGCATCTTCCCAGCCCCCCAAGGCTTATCATGATTTGGCCGTGTAGCCGTGATACCCGAACGCCGCCCATATGCCATTCGTAAATGCTGAAGAAGACCTCCCGTACTCGGAAGTAAAAGTGGAGAGTACGGAACGTAAATGTGGAAGAAGAAGAAGAGGCTACTTGGCAGCAGCAGAAGAAGGAGAAGACACTAGTCGCGATATTGCTATGATCGCACAAAGACGCTGTTGAGCTTGTTCAGCGCGCTGCTATCGGCAGCGGTGCTGTTCTTAGCGAGTCTCTCCGGTGCCAAGTCTCGGGGGAATCTCGTTGCGGTGTTAGGACTCCGGCTACCAGAACGGCTGTTGTTCTGATTGTCCTTGTCTTGGTTCTCGCCGTTGAGTAGCGACCCCAGAGTAGGAAGCGGTCTTGATGCTGCGGGTGCGGCGGTGCTATTTGACTCGGGTGCCCGAGACTCAGACTTGTCGGAGGGCTCTGGTGTCGGTGGCTTGTTGGCACCTGCTGAGGCGGCCGCGCCGTTGATCGCTGGAAGTTGCGGACCTTGCTCGGGAATTGTAGTTGTTGGTCCTGGAGGAGGCGCAGGGGCACTGGCACGTTGAAGGTGTTGCTGTTGAGCTTGTTCAGCTGTCGATGGTGTGCGAAGTGGTGGTGTCGCCATGTATTGTTGAGCGGCGTGAGCGGCATGCGCTGCGTAGGCAGGATGTTGCATCAGCATGGGATGGTGGCCTTGTGGAGCGTGAGGGTGGGCCATGTGCGGCGGACGGTCGAAGACGTGTTGTGGGTGGTATGGAGGCTGCGCATAGACGACACCGGGGTAGAAGTAAGGTTGGTGCGAGTAGTACATTGGGGGTGTACCGTTTGGTGGTGTGGGAGGATACATTGGTATCGCGTACATGGGTGCAACAGGACCGCCACGGGTGTACGGCGATGAAGGCGCCATGCTGTGTCCGGGTGCGCTGTATGGTGAGCCAGGCATGGGCCCGCGAGTGACGGCAGGCACGGTCTGGGTCTCGTTCACTGCCGACTCCGGATACATGTTCTTTGGCGGGCGGATGTGCCGCAGTTGCGCATCGTTGGTAGGCTGTGGGAGGTTGTTGGAATTCGATCGCGAGTAGTAGCTGATGAGGTGGAGGTGCTGTCCGCTCTGGGTGGTGATGCTGAATGACTGCTTCATGAGACCATCCGGCTTGTACCGGTAGCCGTCTGGTCCCTCGCCGTCTGATTCACCTGAGCCTGTGCCGTCTGGCGACTTTCCACTCGCTCGCTTTGCTACTGGGGCCGTGGGAACTGCGCTGCCTCCCCGCTTGCCCTCCATCTCTCGGTATGTGAGAAAGCTGCCCGACACGCGACTCGCACTCCATGATTTTCCGTCGGTCCACCGCCTCATGCCGGCCTCGCGCTCGTCCCATACAAACACTGAGCCTGACTTGATCTGCTGGCGCTCCTTCTCGGATAGGCGGCGCTGCACCCGCGGTAGTATGCCGATGCGGCAGGCCTCGAATAAGATGATGGCATCATTTGGCGTGCGAACGTGTCCGTGGTAGGTCTCCATTGCGAAGACGTGTGTGGGAAGATGTGTCGAAGATAGTGCCGAGGTGTCAAGACCTCATAGATGCTGTGTGGCTCGCGTTAGTCCAAGCCATGGAACGAGCGCTTCGATTCAACAATGCGACAGTTGCAATAATCTTGGTATGCAGGGTTTCCGGCAAACGCGGAAAACGGTGCGCATAAATGTTGGAATATGGCGGACCAAGGAACAGCAGGCCAGAGAGGGGGCAGACAAAGCGGCATGGAGACACGAAACATAAATAGATACTTACAATAGGGTGTGTGACTGTGACGAGAGGTGTCTGCAAAGCCGTCGCAACGTCTGTATGGGGCAGCGCGATGAGGTCAAATGTGTCGAGGTCCGGTGACGTGAAACGGGCCGGCAATGAAACGGAGTCAGCGTCTGATAGGCGTGCGCGGCAGTGATCCACTTGGTATAGGCGGCGTTAAGTGACGGAACCTGGAAGTTGGAAGTTGGGGAAGATGGGTCAGAGGGCGAAACTTTTGGAAAGCCATCAGCAGTCATCCGCCCTCATGTACTTGCAGGCAGGCGGGCTTGGGACCCAGCAATGCTCCTTTGGCGTCTCTGGCCCTTTCTGGGCGCTGGGGTCGTCGTCTTGATCGCCCGCCGAGACGTGGAGTGGCGTCTGATAGCGAAATAAGGCGCACGACAAGCTTTATTTGGACCCCCGTTAGCTGCTCACTGGCCCCCCGTTCCAGCGGAGCCCCAGCAGCATCTACCCACACACACAGCCCCCAATGTCTGCCATGCCGCCCTGTTCCACCAAGCAGCGTCGCCAGATGACCTGAGAAATTGTTTGCAGCGACTTGCCCTCACGGCGGCTCGCACACGCCGAAGCCACGGCATGCCCAGGCCAACCCAGCGGCTGGCGGCGTTGGCTCGATCAGCCAAGCTTTGCGAGCCGGATAACTCTAAACGAATCTTTATTTTCGACAAGCCTTCGATCCCTTGGCAGCCCCACTCGGACCCCAGCGCTGACACCTCCCAAGACTTCGCGGTGTGGTCCATCAGTCCGTCAGTCCGTCTTGTCCTGCTTGGCCCCCGCTAGCAGCAATACACCAAGCACAGCCAAGGCGTTCCAAAAGTCCGTGTCGTCCCAAAACCAACCCACGCTCGCGTCGCCCTCAGATTGTGGCAGGCCATGGCATGCTTGGCCTCGGTCCTCTAAGAAATCTCCACCTGTCGTGCTCTCGGCGCCCTTGGAAGCGGACAAACAGCTGACTTGCGCGAGAAAGGAGCTGCCTAGTCTCGAAGGATTCCTTACACGCTCCGGCTAAGTGCAGAGTTTCTGTGCCGTCTGCCCTTGTCTGCTTCACGCAAGTAAACGGCCGCCCGCAAACTTGTGGCATACGTGGAAATTGTGCCCGCCAACCAAGCCGAGTCTACACTCCGCTCTGGATCAGACATCCGCTCCGATCCACACCAACGTAATCTGGCGCTTGCAACTTCTCAGCTCATTCGCTTAAAGGCTCGGCCAGCACTTTGATTAAGCTTGGTGCCTGCGGTTTAAGCTTACCACCGTGCCACGAGGATCCGACTTACCCACACTGGCGGTATCGCAGGGCCGTCGCTTCTCCGCTTCCAGAACAGAAGAGCTGAGCATCGAAGCCATGAGACTTCCCGCCCCTTGACTGTCATCGTGGCAGTGGTGCGCCATGACGAGATCCGACTTTGCGTAAAATCCTGCTGCCTACCAAGTGTGCTGCGCAGCACCTTGTTCACCAGACCGTCTTTTCTTGTCAAGACTCATCCAAGACCATAGACTGCGGACGAGCACTTGTGCGAGATGCCATGGAACATGGCGTCTCAGCTGCCCGAGAGAGGTAAACCTCCGGGTGGAACCATTGGATCAGTCGCACTCAAGCCTGCCAAGTAGCAAACAGGATTGTTATTTCGATGGATGGCCAAGGCCGCCCTTCTCCACGTTCATACAACGCCCGCTGCTTGTCTTATCAGCTCACACGGTCGAAGCCGCGTCATCCGACTTGTCAAGCCTGCCCAGCGTTGGCTTCTCCACATACCGGATATTTACACCATGGGTTCACGATTGCAGGGAGCTACGTCGTTTCAATCACTCAAGCATGAGTCGCAAAGAAAACTGTTGTGATTCTCTGCGGGCCGACATCTTCACGTCGAGATTACTGTGAGCACGAATAAACGGCGATCTGCGTGCGCTCAGTAATCTGTCTTTCGCTTACATCTGCAAGGTAGCAGATAAGGTTGGCGCAGACTTAAGCATAATTTCCTTTCCGCTGCTATCCCCGGTGTTGGGTTGGTCCTCGCCAAAGGCACCCCTCACAGCGATGAGTCGCAGCGCCCCATCGGCCGTTGGCTCGTATTCTCAATCCTTTCAGATCAGCTTCCACACGCAACGTGTCCACTAGCTATCTTCACATGCTGCTGCACCTGCCGAATGCGAAGCACTGGAGCGACTGCAAGCCCACCTGCTCTGAGCCGCAAGTCCAGAACTGCGCCATCGGAGCGTCGTACCGTGTAGTGGCAGCCCCTAGCCCGCGATTTGAGGGGTCGTCCGGAACCGGTGGAAAATTAAGGTAGGCCAAGCAATCGTTGGTCCGATAGCGCCCGATCATTCCCCCAGGTCCCCAAACCTTTCCTCGACGACCGGCGCTCTGACGGCTTGTGTTTATCCGTGCAGGGCCGGCATGCCTCATGGCGCTGACCACCGCGCGTCCAGCCGCTCGAGATGGAGGGAGTTCGTTGCGAGTCCGAGAACCCGGTTTCGCGGTACCATTATGCAAGTTGCTCAATCTATTGCTGCCTGCTCATTTGCTTCGTCTGTGCCACAGCGCCATACCAAGCACTCAACGTGCCAAGGAGCCTATAGTGTATCGATATTTGCAGGCGTCGTACGATTGCGATCTTGCGTTTTCTGGAAGGTGTCTCCATCTATTTTCGCATCCCGATGACGCACGAGCAATTTGACCGTCACTTCGGTTTGTTGGACGTGATACGAAGCTTGCGGCAGCAGCATCGCTTCTGTAGTCCACAACTCTGCACTACGGTGTATGGACAACGTACATACTCCGCCACACGGATTCAAGCAATGTGTTGGAACAACGGACTTATTTGCCAATGGCAAGCCTTGGTGTGTGAGATCGTTACGTCGCCCGTAGTCCCGGTACCAAGGCATGCCACATCTCACCTCAGACGCTACACTCCGCAACAACCTCTCAGCCCAGATCACTGCCGTGATTTATGATGCCCAGGCATACTGATCCTCAAATAGACTTTGCAGATGCTTGGTCTAACACACAACGGTTTGTGCCTTTCCATTGAGTTCCCCGCTCGAACATAGGTTCTGAAACAGAACGCGTTTGGCTGGACAATGAGTTGTGGAAGAGATCATCCGCGAACCTCGTTTGATAGTCCCGAGTTATCCGCGACGGCATGAAGGATCGCAGCCTAAGGATGCGTGGCGTTGCATCCTACGGCTTGGCTCAGGGCTTGGTAGCTGCTGGGGTGTTGGGTGACGCATCGGATTTTGACGAATGCGAGTCCCACTTCAAGACTGTCACGTGAAGCTCAGAAATATTGATTCCATTCGCATGGCCAGGGACCGACACATTCATGGGGACATTGTAGGGTATCGATGAATCTGCGAGGTGCAGAAATTTCTTCGTGGCACCTTGGTCTTGCGGCTACATACTGTTTGCGGTTCATTGCTAACTACTTTACTGGTCGCACTCGAAAAGCACATTCGCAGCAATCATCTATAACCATGTACCTTTCTCTATAAAACTCGGCGTCTCTCCGTCTCGCAAATTTCGTCGCAGACGTCAGCCCCCATGATACCGCCCCGGGCAACACCTCCAGGACAACTCTAGGGCTACCAGACCAAAAGTCTCCATCACTGTAGTTACAACGACATGCCGCAATAGAACACCCATCTTCATGCTACCTCAAACCCCCTAGAAATCCCAGAACACGCTCGGAGCAAAGAACTGACCCCTTCCACACTTCATGGCCCCAACCTCCACATTCTTCTTGGAATCCTCACGACACGCAATCTCTCTCTGCGGACAGAACAATCTTCGTGGGCTATTCCCATCGCACTCATAGGTGCATGCCTCACCCGCAATATCCAGCTTGAAGATACCGCCAGGGAACAGCGTCTTGCTATCCGAACCAACACGAGGCGTCTCGTCACTGTCTGCAACGATTTCCTTGCCGTCAGTTTCGCCGCAACTACCCACTGCCTTGCCGACGCTGGTGGTGTAGAACTTCCACTCATGATCGACGCTTACGGACGTTCCGTGTCCCGAGTAGTGCGTGACCATGGCAATGGAGAGGGTCATGCCTTTGCTGGGCTTTAAACTGGGTGGGGCTTCTGATCCTGATCCGGGCTTGGGGGTGTGAGGCTAGTATTTGTTTTAGGTATATGATGGCTTCAAGGTACGCAAGACTTCGATCAGTATGCACTTTGTACTGTACTACCTACATTCGCCACTGTTTTGTGAGATAATCTTCATATCTCGCCTGTGTGATGCTGTTTGTCGGCTTGCGTGTGACTAGGTCTTTTTCGAGGAGTCTTTCTGGCATGGGCGAGGCGGTTGCGATGTTTAGCAGCGAGAGCAAGACGGAAAGATGGCTACAAGGCCCGAACGGCGGCCATTGTGAGAGGAAGATGCCATCAGCCCCGAACGACCATTGTGAGAGGTGGAAGGCGCCATCATCTCACTTCGCGTACAATGTAATCGACAATAGTATAGCAGTGGCTTTTGATAAGGGGAGATTGGATACGACGTAGTAAAAAATAGTAGAGGAATGATTTCTGGAATGAGAGTGATATCGAGTAGTTTCACATCGCTTTGTATAATTGTAGCATAATCTTGCTGCAGTCTCAACACTCCAAAGGAATGCGATCCATACTATAATCTGAGGCTGTGATCCTTACAGTTCTACATGCAGGGCGAATTCTCACTGAAGCTGAATCTTGGTCTGGGGGCGTGAATCCTACTACGTCCCTGCTATGTTGTAAGAGAGGATAGAACTTATACAGAATGTATGTGAACCTGAGCTCAAGTTTCTAACATCATCGGCAATGAGAAGCACTTCAGCATCTGCAAGCTTGCTGGGAAGGAGTTGTATCTTTTAGAGGCCAGGCTGTCTCCTCAGGTATGCTCATGAAGTCGTTTAAAATTTGACAAGTTACAACAAATCTCTCAGTGGTAATCAATATACGCAGAAACTAATATCTAACAGTTACCTACGTCATAATGGGGCGGAAGAATCCGTAAATGGCCGTCTTACTAAAGTTAGGGTCGAAGAAGTGTTGAAGTAGGCCCTCTGCTCAGCCTTGCGCTCAACGGCCGACTATTTGAAGACTAGCGGCAGCAAGTGGCCTACAATGTCCTCTTCACGAGGAGTACCAGTATCTACCGTTAGATGAGTTGTTTGTCCGTACATGAGGTTCCGCGTGCGGGCTATTTAGGTATCTTTCTTTACGCCCAGGCGCTAGAACCCACCTTTCTGGAAACGGCTGCCTAACAACCTTAGAAGGGTTAGAACTTCACGTTCACGTTTGCCACACCTGCCTTTAACTCGTGTCAAAGCTACGAAAAGCTTCAAGTTTCGTGTCTTTCAGCAATCAAGACAAAGTCACGCAAGTCCTCGCCTACCTGCGCACATTTCCTCTTCACAGTATTAACCAGCATTACCACTACTGTTGCCATCACCATTACCATTGCCATTACCACAAACACCACCACGCAGCTATGACGGAGCCGACCATGGCAGATCTTAAAGACATGCCGGCCCTTTACACCTCATCCAGAGATGTAGGCGATGTACTAGTAGGGCAGGACGACGCTCGCCGTCTCATCGAAACATGCTCGTCTGGCGACGACCTGGCGTTGCTGAGTCTGCTATCGCAGCCACAACATATCACGACGATTCTCAGTAAACCACACACCATCTATAGTAAAGATTCACGCGGGAAGGTCACGGCAAGGCCAATCCCAAATCTTGAGCGGGCTTTGACGGTAGCGGCTCAGAATGGCCACGCTGCTGTTGTGACTGCACTGCTTGCTTTCGCAACAGAGCATAACATACCCCTTTCCGATATTGTGACAAGAGACGTCGTCAACAAGGTCATCGATGGTGGACACGCCGCTGTCGTCAAGGCACTAGGCGCCGCCTACCCGAAGGTCACCGAAATCCGCATCGGCCACGGCCACGAGCGGCCACTTTACGAGGCTGTGAGGCGAAGGAGACCAGATGTAGTTGCTGCATTGCTCGAGCTCGGGGCAGACCCATTGCATCCCGTTGCGCCAGGCTACAAAAAACTGGGGAACTTCCGCTCGTCCCTGATGTCTTTCGCTGCAATGAATGAGGGTCCGCGCACCACTGCGATGCTGTTGGAACGCGGTACGCCTATAGCGGGTACTGCTGCGTTGCACACCGCTGCAAGATTTGGTAAGCTCGATACTATGCGCCTGCTGATGCAGCATGGCGCGGATCTGGAGGAGGTCGTACCCGGCTGGAAGGGTTGGACACCGATGCACTTCGCTGCCTCGACTGGCAAAGTCGATGCCAGGAAACTGCTAGAAGAACATGGGGCTCGCAAGGACGCGAGAGACGAGGATGGTAAGATGCCCGCGCAACTGCTGGAGGGGCAGAATGCTGCTTAGCACTAGCACATATGGACGATGGGAGCGCGAAATCTGCTTAGCATCATGACTGCTGTCCATCTTCTCGCGACCCATGAGAGCGCATTTTAGGGGGGTAAGGCTGAGAATTGAGTGATGAGTGTGGTTCGTGAGGGAAAGATAGTTGCCTGGACGAAAGGCGAGTTCTGGGCGAGGAGTACCATCTCTTGAGTCTTGGGTTTAGTGATGGCGCTGTGTTGAGCTCAATCGAGATGACTGCAGCGACAGTGCGAGCTTCCTTTCGCGTGTGTATCTATTGCGCATCAATTGTTCTATTCTGTAGCTCAAAGTCCTAGACTGCGTTCTGAACCAGCTGCGTGACGTTGTGAGAAGCAACTACGCAGGTCCGTCTTGCGGCGCTCGCGAGTACTCAGGTCCGTCTTGTGTCTGCGCCGCATCCGCATGTGCGAAAGCTTACTCGAGCGTCATCTCGCCGTCTTCTCCTCATCGTCGAGGTCTTTTCGCGCATATCTCATTCCAATCCATATCTCAGCATCCAGATAGAGTCGCTACGAAGTATTGAGGCCATGTAAATGTCGCTTAGGATTTTTCCACCACCTGGGCAGCTGCGGGCGGGATGCTCTACCCCTTCGAGCCGTGATATCAACGCCACCAACCTTCCGTCGCGCGCAAACCCGTCATAACTCAGGCGCCCTGCATACTTCCGGTGCTAAGAACACGGCGCCCGCCGACCTGTATTGGCTCAAGGACTCACGCCATGTATGGAGTGTGCGATGTTGGCCGGATTGATATCTGATCTGCGAACCCTGGGTGTGCCGGGAGCCGAAACGCGCACAGCTTCCTGCTATTCAACTTCCATGGAGGCAAGAGAAGATTGCAAAAGAGTTTCGTGGTGATGCGTGGTACAGTTGCGCTCATAACAGTGGGCAGGAATTTGTCCTTCGAACTACTGATCCAGGATCTACGCTTGTCACCCTGACGCCGATTCAGTTAAGGTCAGTGGGTCATGTGCATCATGAACTCTGGAAGGGCAGCTACGGAATACGGCTGGTACGATCCAATATGTTGGGCCGTATCCGCTGATCCAGCTTTGTACAAGGTTTCTCGTTCTTCGGAAGCTTATGCAGAAGATGGCGTATTGGCATGTTCGGCAATGATGAATTCGCAGTATCGAGACAGGTATCCATGCGCGGAGGGGCACGGCCACAGCAATCGCCTTGTTCAGCGCAACACGTGTCGGAGCGACTTCGAAGTACTACACTGCACAACAATGTCGTAACTCCTGTAGGACGGACTTCCCATAAGCAATTGAATGTGACAGGTACCGTTTACCAAGCCGGAACGTGGAGGCCACGCAGCATACCCGCCAAACTGTGCCGCTGCGTCGGAGACGTTGAGCGCGCCTGTCAGTTCCCAAGGTCCTGGCTCCAGGTCCAATAGCAATATCATCACGCAGTCCAAAGCAACATCCCACCTTGCCCTGCCTCGGTCACGTTGCCCAGCAGCGCATCAAACACACGCGCAAGGACCAAAGATCAGTCATCCATCAGATAAACCACGGAACGTATCCCATCTACCTCGTACAGATTTGCACGTGTCAAATATTAGCGGAGGTAGTAGCGGCCAACTGCGCACATGCGGCGGCTCCGCGTCAGCGGACGTTTTCAAGACTTATTAGCATCACGCCACGGCTAGCTCTTAGTAGAAGACACCAAGCTCGAACCTGCATTCCGTCCGCCTGCACCGGCAGAGTTCCGTATCTGGGGTTAAATGAAGGCGTCCTTCTCGGGCTATCACTACCGCGACTTCATTCAATACCGCTCCCATAGCTCCCCCATGGGGCGGGAAGGAAGAGTGGCGGGATGAACAGCGCCATTGGATACGAGCTAGAAGCTGTCAAGGACACAGAGGCACATTGTACATTCTTGGTAGCGAGATCTAACGGGGTGGTCAGACGGCTCATATCAGTGGAACTTGCAGACGCCGTGTAACTCAGACCCTTCCTGCTCATCCCAGCCCCCAGCGTGGAGAAAACGAGTGGAGAGACCTGCAAAATCCTGGAGCAGCAGGGCGACCCATCTGGGGAGCCCACGGATAAATAACGGGTCTACTCCAGTTAACAAGCGTACAAGCCTGTCGCGGTGCGGGGATATTAGCGCGCGTATTTTAGCACCGGAACAAAGCTTTGCATCGCCAGCTATGATAGGTGCTGGCCTACCAGCAATACGAAGTCTAGAGCAGACAAGAAACAGCCACCTGCAAACGAACACGCAGCGCTATGGATACATCTGGTGAGCGGTCCGCTGCTAGGCCAGCGTAGCGACACAGTACGACGAGGTCGTGACAGCCGCCTCGCACGGCTTGGAGGCCCTTGCGCGGACGGCGCAAGGAACCAGCTTGATAGCCAGAAGCCGTGATTGATGGAATCTGTCTTGTGCATTCCTTCCATGGGGACATAGCGCTGACGGCGGACCCACCAGTCACCAGCGACGGATTTTCCATCTTTCTGGGGAATTAGACAATGCGCGCTCGGAGATGGGGAGGGGTGGGTGGATGGTTCAAGCGCCCCGGGGGTGGACTACTGTACACCAGATGGCTAACCATGCCTAAATGCCGTTTCTGCAAGGTTACATTTAAGCCGCCCCGCGTTGATTGTGCGCACCCCGTGCTGTTTATAAGGTGGAGACGTTTCCCCGGTTTATCGTGTCTTGCTCTGCTTTTGTCTTCTTTGCCAGCCCAGAGTTCCTTTCTCTGATCTGATACCCCTTGCCTTTTTTTCTTGTTGTACCCCGGCAAGAGCCCTTTAGCAAAGATGGGTGACGTCCCCAAGGAATATGGCGGCGATGTGCACGTCGAGAAGGCCATCTCGCATGTTGACGACTCGGTCGCGCTTGACGAGAAGGCTCAGGCTGCTATGTTCAAGACGCAGGCTATGGATGCTGAGACTGCTGAGCATGACATGGGTGTCATTCAAGCTGTCAGGGCGTACCCTATGGCTGCTCTCTGGGCGTTCATCATGTCTTGCACAATTGTAAGACTCCCCACTTCAATTCCCCAGAATCGAGAACTTGTTGCTAACAAATATTCCTAGATCATGGAGGCTTACTGTGTCTTCTTGATGGGTAACTTCATCGCTCTGCCCGCATTCGAGAAGCAATACGGTATCCCGCTCACACACCCGGACCCCGACCGACCACACGGCAAGATTATCGCGGCTAGCTGGCAATCAGCGCTCCAGATGGGAGGACCCGTTGGTGCTATTATCGGTGTCTGCCTGGCTGGTCCTCTTACCAGCCGTATCGGATACCGATGGGCGACCATTTCCGGTCTGATGCTTCTCAACTGCTTCATCTTCGTCTTCTACTTCGCCAACTCGCTCCCGGTCATGTTCATCTCCCAGCTTCTCGAGGGTGTCCCGTGGGGTATCTTCATTGCCAACGCTCCCGCGTACTGCAGTGAAATTACACCTATTCAGCTCCGTGCCCCGGCCACCCAGATGTTGCAAATGTTCTGGGCTATTGGTGCTATCATCGTCAATGGTGTTGCATACTACTACAACCCCAAGCCCGACGCGAGCGCGTACAGAATCCCCATTGCGCTTCAATGGATGTTCCCCACTCCTCTCGCTATCCTCATCTACCTGGCGCCAGAATCTCCCTGGTGGTTGGTACGCAAGGGCAAGCTTGAGCAGGCTGAGAAGTCCGTTGGTCGTCTCGGACGTAAGGGCCAGCTCAACCTCAGCGAGGCCGTCGCTATGATGCGCCGTACCATCGATCTCGAGAAGTCCATCAAGGAGCCCAGTCTTTTGGAGCTGTTCAAGGGCACCGACCGCTACCGTACGCTCATCGTTTGCGGTGTGTACGCAGCCCAGAACTTGACTGGTAACCTCATCGCCAACCAGGCCGTCTACTTCTTCCGCCAAGCCGGTATCTCGGTCAACACTGCTTTCGCCCTTGGTCTTATCACCTCCGCTCTCCAGATGATCTTCGTCATGCTCTCCTGGATTCTCACCACCTACCTCGGCCGCCGCACTATCTACGTCTGGGGATCTCTCATCAACGTCGGTTTCCTCGTCGCGCTCGGTATCGCTGCTTCCGTCGGTGTCTCCAACGCAGCTTCTCTTGCCCAGGCTTCTCTGGGTCTGATTGTCTCCGTTCTGTTCACTCTCGGACCGGCGCCCGCTTCATGGGTCATTATCGGAGAGACCTCGTCCATTCGTCTCAGGCCCCTCACTACCGGTATCGGACGTGGTGCATACTACGTTGTCAACATTCCTTGCATTTTCCTCGCCAGTTACATGCTTAACCCCGACGTAAGTTTTACCTCTTTTCAACCTTGTGACGAACTCTTACTAACAAACCATCTAGGAGGCCAACCTTGGTGGCAAGTGCGGTTACGTCTGGGCCGGTACTGGTTTCTTCTGCTTCGTTGTCGCATACTTCTTCCTTCCAGAAATGAAGGGCCGTTCTTACCGCGAGATCGACATTCTGTTCAAGCGCAAGGTCCCTGCCCGCAAGTGGAAGAAGACCATCGTCGATATCGGCGACGATTCATAGATGGATACGCGCCTATTACGGCGAGGTCATTGAGTCTGCGGAAGCAATGCGTCATTGCGCGCTTGCTGTCTTCTGTTGTTCAGGAAAGATGTAGTTGACGGAGTAATACGTGCCCTCTATACCCTAGGGTAACGAGCAGAGACGACGAATGAATCATCTCAACACATTCTTCTCAACCCGTGTGAACGATTTGCAGTGACGAATTCGAACCAAACTCTCAAGCTCTGAGAATCAAACAAGATGATAAAACATGTGGAGATCGTATTTTGGTGTGAATGAATGTGTACACTTCGATTTACGTCGAGACCCGAGTTTACGATACGCATATACCAAGCCACTAGCACCTATCCGGACGTCAGAGCCGTCTCAAGCAGGCAAGTTATTCAAAGCCGTCGATTACGGGCGTCTCCAAAATTACCACACGCCAAACGACCTGTGTATGAAACCACAAGCCGAATTCGAGGATACTGTAAGCTCAGCATATCTCCCACTTGCACGCTATAGATAAAATCTGGTCTCCGACCCGTCGCTACCGCGTAACAATGCTAGCTCATGGAGACACTGCAAAGTTCACTAAAAGTCCTTTGGTGGCAGGGCACGAGCAACACAGAATCCTTGTGCGATCAAAGTATTAACATGAATTGATATATACAATCCCTCTCTCCCCATCTACCACCTCCCTACGACGAGCAAGTAGCCAACATACTAGTAAGCGCACTCTTCTCCGCACTCGTAATAGTAAGCGCATACACGCTCTTAACCTTAATCCACATCTTGCTGTACGTGCAGTAGTAGCTGGTTAGCGGGGGCTTCCACTCCTCAGGACCCTTATCACCCTTCGCCTGGTTAACGTTGTCGGTTACGGCGAGGAGCTGGGGGTTTGTGAGGTCGTTGGCGAAGGCTTGACGGCGGGCTGTGGTCCATGATGCTGCGCCGGACTGGGTGGAAGTTAGTATAGGGGGTTTGAAGAGAGGGAATGGGAGGTGGGGGAATATGGGAGGAGATGGGGAATATGGGAGGAGATGGGGGTAAACGCACCTTCCAGGCATTGCTCAAAGGCACCATGTGGTCAATGTCGACGTCGCTGGCTGCGGTCCATGTAGCACCGTCGTAGGGGCTGAACCATGATCCAGAGGTTGCGGCACATGCACTGCTGGTAACGACATTTGTGCCGTCGCGCTTGAGGACTGTCTCGCGTGTGTTGCAAGCTCCGGACTGGGTGATCCAGTGGGGGAAGAGGTCGCGAGAGTAACCTGTCTGCGGGCCTTGGGCGGCGACGGTGAGACCAGCGAGCTGTGTAGTAGCAGCGGATTTGCTGGGGATGTTGGGAGGAGCGCGAGCGTCGAGGATGGCTGGTGTTGGGGCAGCGGAGACGAGGGCGGCTGAGGCCACGGCGACGAAGATGGAGGCCTTCATGGTGATGGGGTGGAGGGGTGGTGGTGGCAGTTCTGTGAGAGAGGATGTTGTGCTGTGAAGTAGAGCTGCTTGATGATCTCTGACTTGTCCCTTCGATACAGAACAGGTTCCTAGGCGGTTATATACTCTCCCTCTCCAAAGCCATAGTCGGCGCGTTGCCCTTCGGACATCGTCTCTTCCAATGATAAGCACCACGCGCCTCCCGTACCCCTTTGCCTTTGCTTTTGCACCACTCACCCGGTCTTCGCATCACACAGCATACTATACAAATGCGCTACTCTTCTCACGACCCCGAAAGAGGCAGGTGGAGGTAACGGCCAAGTCCCCGACACCACGCCCATCACCCACCCCATTGGGGATGTGTACCTGATCAGCCGTGCTTACAAGCCCGCTACATACAACAAGTGGCTTGCCTTCCTACTAAGGAGTGCGGCGCCGCCCTACCTGCATAGTAGCGTAGACCTGACTGGAAGGAGGTAAGATGACTTGTGTAGCAAGCAAAGTCGCGGATGATCGCAGGTGCTCTTATCGCGGGGTGTGATAGGTGGCGGGGTGCATTGGCATGGGCGATGATCGTCATCTTGATTGGGGCTCGATATGAAACCTCCGACAACGTACCGGCGCTTCCTGCGGTTCGGCGCGTTATCCCTTTTGGGGTTGTGAGGGAGAGCGAATGGGTGATAAGGATCAGTAAACGTGAGGATGATTGTGAAGAAGAGCTGAGATGATTTGGGGGAAAGATTTGGTGTTCTCAAGCCCCTGTCTTGGCGCTCGGAACCCCTCGGATACACGTGATCCCAGCTGAGTATCCAGAGAGCCCTATCCTCAAGCCAGACCGCTATGAATCTACCTTGTATTCAAAGGAATACGTCCCAGACCCCACAGTCTCAACCTTCCCCCCCTCCAACATCACCTCAGCCGTCGCACAAGGCGGAACCACAACCTCCAACCTCACAACCCCTTTCTCCCCATCCATCCTCCAAGCACTCTTCGCAAACCCCAACGGCGTCTCCAGCGTCGCTTTAGCATGGGTCAACCCACCCCCAACTAGCGGCTCAACCCTAATCTTCCTATAGCCGGGCTCAACAGCCTTCAGCCCCGCCACACTCTCCTGCAACCATGACGCCACAGTACCAAACGCATAGTGATTATGCGACATCTTCGCGTTGCCCTTGCCGTCGTAGCCTTCCCACGTTTCCCAGAGCGTTGTCGCGTCTTTTGTGATAGGATAGAGCCATGAGGGCACTGTGTCTTGTAGTAGCACGCGGTATGCGGTGTCTGTCCTGCCGTATTGGGCAAGTACGGGGAGTAACAGCCCTGTGCTCATGAAACCGGTTTTCAGGTGGTAGCCGGCTTGCGCTATGAGTTCTACGAGGCGTTCGAGAGCGGCGGGCTTTTGCTCTGGTGAGATGAGGTTGAAGGCTAGGGCGCGGAGGTAGTCGTCTTGGTAGTCGGATGCGATGCGGGCACCGTTTTGTTGGACGAAAGCAGTGCGCCATGCTTCGCATGTCTTTTCCGAGAGTGTGAGATAGTTTTCAGCGTCGTCCCGTTTGCCAAGAATATTGGCGATGTTGGAAAGCAGATGAGATGAGTGAGCTAGGTAAGCGGTAGAGATAGCAGCGCTGGGGAACAAGACGTCCTTGATGATTGTGGGAACACCGCTTCCGACACGGAGCCATTCACCATAGCTAAAGCCGGTATCCAAGATGTACTGCTCGAGCTCGCCGCATCCAGCACCGAGTTTGGTCCAGAACCATCTTCTCCAGCTCATCTTTTCTCGTGCTCGATGGGCCAAGCTGTTCACCCAACTCTTCATGCTATCGTACTGCCGTAAGAGGACTACGTCATCATTGTAGTGTTGATACAGAGCCCAAGGCACCATTGTCGAAGCATCGCCCCATCCAGTTGATCCCGACATCAGTTTCGTCGTCAACGATAGCTCGCTACTGAACTGTGATCCAGCGCTGGGAATGTACGATGGAATGCTACCATCAGCAAGTTGCTCCGCAGCCAGGCAACGCAAGTACCGACGCAGGAAAGTCTGACAGTCGAACAGCATGGTCGCAGTAGGAGTGAATACTTGAATGTCTCCCGTCCAACCCATTCTCTCTCGCGTCGGACAGTCAGTCGGGGTGTCCGTAAAATTGGCTCGGGTAGTCCAAACAATATTCTGGTATAACTTGTTTAACCGGGCGTCTGAGCAGATGAAAGATCCTGTATTTGGAATGTTGGAAGCCAGGACGATTCCTTCGACGTCAGAGGGACTAAGGTCGTAGTCCAAGCCTTGGACTTCAGCGTAGCGGAATCCGTGGATGGCGAACCAGGGCTGGAATTCAGCTTCGTTGTCACCAAGGGTTACGACGTCCCGCTGTACGATGTGCGGAACTATGGGAAGCTTCAAGTAACTGATATCAAGCTCTCCATTGCTGGACAGGACTTCGCTGTATGTTATGGTGATTTTGGAGCCTGCTTGGCCACGGAGCTTGAGTGCCATGATGCCGGCAAAGTTTTGTCCAAAGTCGACTATTTGTGCGCCTGACGGGGCACGAAGTATAGTCTTGGGTGGCAAGCGCATGACTTCTTCGACGCGTTCAACTTCTTCTGCAATTAGCTTCTTCGTCAAAACCGAGACCTCTTCGGCACGGTCCAAAGACTCAGTATCGCATTTCCCCAGCCATTCGTCAGCGATTCGAAAGTCAGTGTGTTCGCCCCATACGGGGTCTGATCGAACGATGGAACCCTTTGGTGACCTCCACGTCTCGTCTGTACAAAATGTAACAGTTTCTCCATCACCTGCATCCACCTCGAGCTGCATAAGTGCAGAGAGCCGGTCTCCGTAGCGACAGCGCCCTTCGGTGACGCCTATCTGTCCTCGGAACCGCCCATCTGCAACAACTATACTGATCACATTCTTCCCAGCCTTCAGATACTTTGCGATATCGTAAGTCTGATATTCGGTGAACTGGTCAAAAGGCGTCCAGCGTGGCACCAACGCCGTACCGGTGACGCTGTTCCCATTGACGAAAAGCTTGTACCATCCACAAGCTGTTGCGTAAGCCCGTCCTCGGACCGGTGTTTGCGCGAGCTGTAAGGTGCTAGAGAGGTATATGACTCTGCCATCTTTTATCGAATTCCCGGTTGATGTCATCACAGGAGCGCTGATCCAGGACGCTTTCCAGTCGGATGGCTCCAACAGCCCTGTTTCGAACCATGCTTGCTTGGCCGTGTCCCAGATCTTGTCGCTGGGCTCGTCGGATTGATCCCATACGCGGAGGCGCCAATGATACCGAGTGCGACTTTTCACACTGTCGCCCGCGTAGATGGCGCTGAGGGATGAATCTTTGCTTGTAGCTATCTTTCTGCTGTCCCAAACGATGTTTTCGGATTCGAAGGATGGCGACGTGGAAACTTGGAGTTCGTAGGAAGACTGTATGACATTATGAAAGCCTTCCTTAGCTGTTAGCTGCCAACTGAATTCCACGGGGAATGCATCGATTCCAAGCGGACTTGAAAGCTTGTTGGTGCGCAAATGGTACGGTCGTGCAGTCATTAGGAGAAGAGGCGATAAGGGAAGAGTAAATTCGCGAGTTGACGAGGTAGGTGGCCATTCATATCATTTTTGTAGTAAAGCTTCTATGTCTATACCGGGTTTCCCTACAGTTCGGTCTTGAATGTTGCTGCAACGGCCCGGGCACGGTATCCTTTTACGCTGCAACGTTTTTTCAACTGCGCCACGGAGCGAGCGCCTCCCGGCGCCGGGTCTTTTCACAGTTGCGAAAATGGGATATAGCCTTTAGCGGGGCCCGGCAAGATTTCTCCCGCGAAAATGAGCACAGTTGCGCTTCGACGCCGGGTGCAGCTGCCCTCCGTACCCGAAACGCCGAGAAGAGCCAGGCCCTAGCCCCATCTCAGCTGACACGCGAGGCCAAGCATCACTCTTGGCTGGAAAAAGAAAGCCGTTAGCCTCAAGAGGAATTGCCAAGCCAGGAATGGTGAAGTGCTGTCTGGGAGGCGTAAAACCTGGAATACATGAATTTTGGATCCCAAGCTGGTGCTGCGAAGTGAAAGCTTTTCGATTCAATGAAAGTTGCGCAAAGAGTGTCGACGGACATGAGACGTCTCGGCGGCTCGGGAATAAGCCTGGCGAGACCGGAGCTTGGTATGCCAATCTTTAGTGCTGTGTTGGACACCTTCCTGCCTGAACTGCCGTTTCGAGTATGTTCGCAGCGACGTCGGGCCTTGGAGACTTGGCTCATGAGCCGATCCCGAAGTGGAGGGTGAATGAGAACAATATTGCTACCACGAAGGCTTGTAAAACGCTCAGATATACCCCGATGTCTATGTCGGCTATCGTTATATTAATCGAGACTTGTACGTGCAAGCCAGTCACTATGGGTATCAAGCAGCAAAATCGAAATCCTTGAACGCTTCTTTGAACTTCTCAACGTCCTGCTCTTCTTGGGCCTGCGTTTGCCCGCAATTCTTCCAGTCAACGCGGTTGTCGAGCCTCAAGAGTTTTGCCAATACCTCGCGTCCGAACTGATTATGGAAGCGGATCTTCTCGTCAAAGCGCATTACGTAGCTTGTCTGCTTTTCAGGGTCATCTTTCGGGTTCCACACGAGGACTCTGAAGAAGTCGCTCGTTTCCTCGAAGCCATCTCCAACATCTTCTTTCTCGAACTTCGGCCAGTGTAGATTCTCTGCTAGCGCCTTGAACGCAGCTTCAACAAGCCCTTTGCTGATGAGATCTGCGCTGACTGGGAGGTATTGCCAATGAGTGTGTGGTAAGCTTGACTTGCTGGCTTCCCACGTAACGGAGCCATACTCAGTATCCGCAACAGATTTGAGCATGCTGTTCATGGCGCATCGATAGCGTTGCATCTCTGCGTAGGTTGCGTGTCGTTCTTCCTCTTCCATAGAGCCAAGCGTGGGCTGATGTGTGAATGGGATGATGAGCATGTGGCTGGGGAAGCCAAGTTTTGGGTATGTTTGCGATGTTGGGAGGGGGCCTTTGGCTGTGGTTAGGTAAGAGTTCTCGCCGATTGAAGTCACCAGATGGGTCGCAATGTTCTCGTTGGCCAGACAGAAGAAACACTCTGACGCTGTGATGGGTCCTCGAGATTCACCCTTGCGCCTCTTGTTGCCTCTCCGGCCACGATTTCCGTCATCGTAGACGAGATGCTGTTCGCGATGCTCCGGCGCGACTCGCTTCTTCTCTGAGAGTGTCACAGGGCAAGCAGTAGATCCAGCTGGCGGTGAAACTGGATGACTGGCCGATGGCTCGAGGGAGAAGGCGTATATCCATTTCTGCTTGTTTGGGTTGCCAAAGGATGCCAAACTAATGAATCGGGTCACCGGGTAGAGGTTATCGGTTTCGTCGCTAGGCGCATGGAAGAATGGTTCTCGCTCGTAGAAGTTGCCACCCGATGTGGAGAAGTGGTATTTGGGCTTGAGTATTACGTCCAGGTCGGCGATACACTGTTGCGCTGTCGGTTTTACTTCAGGATTGAACTCAACCTTGGAACGCTTCTGAATGCCCTCTGGCCACTCGTTGGTGATGAGGATATCTGCCGTGGTTGCACCTCGTAATACCTTCGCGTCCGTCTCGCTGTAGAAGGGCGGGTACTTGTCTTTAGATTGGCCGGCGACAATGTTGGGGTCGAGCTGTCCACCTAGGGCAACAATGCGAATGCCTTCCGATGTCTTCATAGTCGTCCGCTTGCCGAGGAAGAAGAGATTGTGGCATAGCTCGTCACTTGATGATTCCAATTTCTGGACAACTGCTGGTGGGAGGGGATGGTTGCTAAGAGCAAAGTACGTCGGCAATGGTACGTCGATGTTGCCGTCGATGAGCGCTTGCACATCGGCTACATCCGTGCCCTCAGCTTCGACTGACCCTGCGAAGAGATCGCCTGCGACAATGGCGAAAGCGAAGTTGTTCTTCGCGTGTAAAGCGCCCAGCTTCTGGAAGACAGTCTTAAATTGGCCGTTCACGCCGCCAACGACCACGCTGCACGCGTCAGAACAAGCAACAATGACGACAATCTATTTACTTACATTTTGGAGGCCATTCTTGATGACGCAGCTAGTAAAGCAGCTGGTGGCCGATGTGGTGTTGGTAGTGAAGATAACGACAGGTGTAACCTCGCGATTCAGCAAGCACAAGATAATCGCGTTATCTGCAACGCCTATTGTATTCGGCGTGGTTGTCTCGATAACGGCTGATGTTGGCAGACGCGTGGTGTTGAGTATGGGTGATTGGCGCGTCCGAGGCCTCGGTGGTGCCAGGGTCCAGCTTTTTTGTTAGCGCCAGGAAATTCTAGTGGAGCATCATCGAGTGAAGATACAGCCGCAGCCCTCACCACCACAACTCCACACCACACCACACCATGGCCGCCATGTCCAGAGGCCAAACCGCGAAGCCAGCTGCGAAGCCCAAATCCAAGGTCGCAAAATCAGCGCGCCCACAGAAAAGAGTCAAGGGCGGCACCGAATCGACGCGCAACCATGTCTTCAAAGGCTTCACCCAGCGCATTGCCCAGCTTAAGATCGAGCCCATCCGCCGCGGTCGCAGCACCATCCTCGACGATGCCGAACTCGAATCCACCTTCTCCTACTTCCGCGACTCCTTCAATGAGTGGCGGGAGCTCAACATGTCCGAGGGCTTCACCACCTTCGCCCGCAAGGTCGCGCCACTATGCGACAGCCTCCCCCAGGTCCTCCACCACAGCGACCGCATATTCGAGCTGCTCGTAGAATACATTGAGAAGGGTGAGAAGTTCAGCCAAGAACCGCTGCTCAGTCTCACAGCGCATCTGGCACACGACATGGGCGAGAGGTTCGAGAAGTACTTTGAAAAGGCAGTCAGGACCGTGTCGCATCTGGCAGCTACACATGCTGATGTCGAGGTCATAGAGTGGGCTTTTGGCTGCCTCGCATGGCTGTTCAAGTACCTCTCGCGCCTCTTAGTGCCCAACCTGCGCCCGGTCTTCGATCTCATGTCGCCTCTGCTAGGCAAAGAGCGCCAGAAAGCCTTCGTCTCCCGTTTCGCCGCCGAATCGCTCAGCTTCCTCGTACGCAAAGCCGGCGCTGGCTACCACCGAGACAAGATGCCTCTTAGGACGATCATCAAACATATATCGGACCAGCTGAAGGACCAGCAAGAGTCGGGCAAGGACCACGCTTTCCAGCAGGGTCTCATGTACCTTTTGACAGATTCGCTCAAGGGCGTACAACGCGGATTCCACTCGAGCGCGACGGCCATACTACAGGAGCTTCTAGCAGAGACATACAACGAAGAGCACGTCCAACTGCGAATTCCGCCTCTGGAGCCCGTATTGACCGGCGTCATCACCGCTGCCATCCATCATACCGACGCAGAAAACTTCGCGCCCCTCCTCGAAGTGATCCTCGCACAGATGGACAGGACGTCTTCCGATACACGTTACATCGGCCTTTCGTCTCGTCTGCTGCTCGTCGCGTGTGGCGTGCGACAAGGGGATCGCATAAATGACTGGCAGCCCGTTCTAAGCTTAGTCAGTCATTTGCTGGACTCAACCAAGGAATCCTCTGCTCTCGATTCCGTTGATGCATGGGAGCTCTTGTCGGTCATCTCTGTTGTATTCCAATACTGTACTCTCGACGCAGCGATACCGCACGAAAAACTGCTCGAAGGACTTAGCCGTGGCCCCTGGGAGCCATACTTCTTACCCTTCTGCAATCTCTTTGCTGACCTAGGGGTGGAGAGATTCAGGACGTTACTACTTCCCTATTTCAAGAGGTTCATCGCACAGAAGGCACACGAGCACGGATCTCAATTCTGCGCTATACTTCCTCGACTGTACTACAACGGTGCGCTGGCGAATGTCGCTTTACAGGCTTCCGATCGATGGCAAGCGACCGTACAGGAACCATTTGACAAGCTTCTTGAGTCTGTACGCGGCGATGTAGATTCAGATTACGAAACTTTCTACTGCAATGCTTTGCTAGGCGCCGTAGACACGCTACGTATAGGAAACGACAAGACGCGCGGAATAATGACCGACCTTGCAGAGCTACTTAAGAGCGCCCTGGACACCAACAGCACAAGGCCCCGACGAACTGTAGACATATTTGCTACTGGCAACGGCTTTCAGTCCCTCATCGGCAAAGGCGACAGTGATGACTTGACGACAAGTTTGTGGCCTGCGTTGTGTCAAGCGTCCCCTATATACGGCCATTCTCTAGCTTTCTGGCGCGCGTTCCTGGGCTTATTGCAGCGGGAAAAGACCAAACTCGACATTACTGGCCCGCACATGGAACCTCTCAAGCGAACACTAATGCGCTGCTTGGGATCTCCATCACATGACCTAAGACTCACAGCCATACACGTCCTGCAGATCGTCGCGGGGCAGAGCCAGGAACACCAGGACATACTGCATACCGCAATGTTGATCGAGCAGACACCACTGAATCTCGAGACTCAGAGGTCCATTGCGATGCGCATAGGGCAAATCGCGAAGCTGTACCCAGAGGTATGCTCTAACGAATGGATAGGAGAGGCCATACCCGCTTTCTGTCT